TTTAAATTCAAGTAACCCCATATCCTGTCTAAGGCTTTAAAGTGGATTTTATTGGGATTACTTATAAATTTTAAGCATTGATTTACTGCAAATGCTATATCTAGCCTGGTTTTTAAGGCTAGGTATAGTAAGGCACCAATTTGTTGTTAGAAAGCCTTGATTTCTTTTGCGTTTGCCTGGTATTTTGATTTTTCCAGCTTTAAACCTGCTTCAAAGGGTGTAGTATATTTTGATATGTATGATTTTTCAAACCTTTCAATTAGGTTGTGTGTATATTTTGTTTAGTGTAACGTAATTCATTAGCCTTTAATAAATTCCATTTCAATGCCTAGGAATATTAAAGGTTTACCCATTTCTTGTAATTTTATATATTTAGACGCAATATTCATTACTTTGCGTATTAAATCGTTAGTAAGACCTGCAGCAATTAGGTTATCTACATGACAGCAAAGTATGATTTGAAATTTTGGATAGATAAAAACACCTTCGTTATAAGGTAAAGTAATAAATCCTAGCTTTAGTAATACATCCTTTAAATGCTTATACCAAAGCCTTGGTGACTATTTTAACCTATAGAGTGCTTTATTTAATTTGCACACTTTACTTCCTTTTTCAAAGCCTATAGGCTATATTACATATATTTCTTTATCAACATCTGCATGCACAAAGGCATTTTTAACGTCATATTGTAGCATTGACCAATTAAGGTATATAGCTAGTAGAACGATTAGCTTGTAAGATTTAGGTCTATAGGTAGTACTAAAGGTCTCTAGATAGTCAATACCTAGTACTTGGTTAAAACCTTGTACTACCTAACAGGCTTTATACTTTATGACTTTATTATTTGCGTTGGTTTTTAACTTGTATACCCAACGCCCTCCTAGAACATTACAGCCTTTTGGTAAGTCTACTAATTCCCACATTTTCTATGCTTCTAATTTGTCAACTTCCGCTTTTATTCCTTTAAACCAAAAGGCTGCGTCAGAGCCTCTCATAGCTATTTTATAAGTTGACAGTTCTTTATTAGTATTAGTAATTACTAATATAAGCTTGTTAGCTTTAGCTTCTGCTATATTTGGTAAAGCACTATATTTAATTTGTCTTATAGAAGGTTGTAGGTTGTGATTTTCAATATTACTTGCTTGATTTAATTCATCTTCTATTAGACTATTATTATTACTTGATTCAATAATAGGCGTAGACCTTAGGCTTTGGTTTAAATCAACTAGATCGCTATTTAAAACCTTAGCTTTATTATTTATATTACTTAAATCGTTACTATTTAAAGTAATATTTGAAAAATCAAGTAGTGCTTTGGGTATTTCTTCATTTTTGGACTTCATAGTTGTAAAAAAGCAGTTTTCCATTATGTATAAATCTCTTGTCTAAATAGGCCTTTTATATTCAAGGTCCCAGATCTTGTAATTATTACAGTCTATACCATAACCTATTAGAATTCCTAGTACGCCACAAGGGTCTAGTTTCTTAAGGTTAGGCCTCTTTCTTTTAAAGTAAACTAGGCTCCCAAAGACTTTAATATTGGTAATATCAGGTTTTTCACCATTTTTAGCTTTATATAGTGTCTTAAATCCCAGCTTACTATGTAGGGTCCTATTGTATAAATAAGTTATAGCTAGTAAAGCCTCTCCCTACATATATTGTGGCAAATTACTATTTAATAGTATACACCTTACTTTATTTAGTAAGGTATAATTAATCCTTTTAGCATTTCCATTTTGTTCTTCAAAAGGTTAGGTTGTGACCAAAGAGGTAGGTTGTGGAAGCAAAGTATTCAACTAGTGAAAGTACTGCTATAAGCAGTAGAAAGGCAGGAAGTAAGGTAGGCAAGTAAGGTGCAGAAGACTGGTTGTATTGTTTTGTTAGTGATGAAGATGTTACTTCAAAGTCAGCTAGCTAATCTAACTGACTATATAGTAAAATTCAGTCTTCTTGCTTTACTTGATCTACTAGATTAAACAACTTGATACCTCGGATTGGCTGATTAGACCAGGTCTGTAGGATCCGATTGTTTGAATCAGTAGTAATACGTAGATTACACACTTACAAGGTGGTGATATGTATCAAGTGGTTTGACAGGGTTTGATAGTTTTAGGTGGTTTGATTTTCTGCACCTACCTTGTATTTGCAAGGCTACCCTAGACTTGCCGGGCTACCCTGGACTTGCCGGGCTACCCTGTCCTTAGGGTTAGGGTTGCCTTTGGCAGGAAAGTCCTTTAGACTTCAAATGCTAATTATAAGGTAAGGATTAATCACGTGACTTAGCTACTTTGTAGGCTTATAAATAAGTCGTATGTGATGCTTAATCAGCAAGCTGCTTAGTCATCACTATTGTGGTTACCTCAATATATAGGTTTGAAGTTAGATTATCAAGTAATCTTTATACAATCCGTGGAGAAATAGGAGTTTTCAGAACAAGCTTACAGGGTGTGTATTCTACATTGGAAGTGTACATGTGTGCCACCGACACCCACTCGTCTTGGGATGTTTCCGTTTCATAGTATGTTTGTGACTTAAGATTTCAGGTACTGAGATAGGGCTTTGATTTAGACATACTCTGGACCTGACTAGTCTGGTGTAGGTAGGCTCAGAGTTACATGAGAAAACTTGTTTCCTCATCCCGGATTATATAGCCTCTAGTTATAGAAGAGGTTTCTCTCTCGTTAATTATCATGAGCTTGGTTCCATAAAAGTTGCATCATCGCTACTGACGACGCATAAGTTTTGGCATTGGATGTCCTCCTCTTGGCAATTTCTACACTTGCCTTGCAAGTGTTTGTGAGCTCAACAGGCGAGCCCCGGCAATTTCCCTTGTAACCAACCCCCACACCTGTGGCAGGTCCCTCAGCCACTGAGCAGAGTGTTGTCAATAGTCGTTGATGTGTAAGAAATTCTCATAAGCGAGTTGATCCTGTCTGCAACGCACCCAGCGCATGAGAGTACCATCGCCGAAGCCATTCTCGCAGGGAACACCTTCCATCTAGCAATGGTGGCGTTTGCCCTTGCAGGACCGCGTGTGCGCTCCCAGAGCCTTACCCAAGGACAACGTTGGTGGATATGTTCGTAGTGCCCCTGCTCTTAAACTGGGACCCAACTACATCTGGTTTGCGTTGTTGCTCCTTGGAAGGGGCTGAGTTGGTCCAGATGGTAATGTCCTTACTAAGGGGCTTGCTGGGGATTTCCAGGTATCCGTTTGCGTCACCCAGTATCAGCTCAAGCTAGTTCGTCAATGGTATTCCACGGTCGGTTCGCTTGCAAGTGACCCAGAATTGTATTAGACTTGTCCTCTAGCAAGCATTGACCCGATTTCCTCGGCGATTAGTGTGGTCACGGCAAAATATAGCTCTCCAAGCGCCAGTGCCCATGTTTAGATGGCCGTATTCAAGTGCCATTCTTCCTTCGCCTCTTCTAGCTTTCACCCATGTAGCCTACTCGACAATTTCTAATGTTTCTATCTTAGGACCTACAATTCGTCGTATTTGAGCACGAAGACAAGGTCGAATATGGTGTCGTGAGGATACTATTCGTCTAATCTTCCTCGGGGATGGCTAATCAGGAAACCTTTCTCATGTCTTCTCGTGTCTGTTTTGTGGCATGGTGTCATATATGCGAAATTGATGCCGCTGACATGATACGCCTGGTTCTGCCATCATGCAGACCGTAAAAAAAAAATAGAACGTTGGTCCTAAACAATCCCAGTTATTTCGAAGGAGGAAATGTTAATAGTGATCACCAGATGGCTTCTGCCAAAACAAGCTATAGTGCCTTGATTTCGTATTGAAAGTCTCCCTCAGTGCTGGCGGGCTGATTGACTGAGCGATGCGAGACGCCTCACTCCAGTCCAGACATTGGTTTTTCTAGCTTATAACGACAGTCGATGGGACAACACACACTCTAACTTGAATGTCTCTCCTGTGTGGCACTGCCCTCTTCAGATCCGCAACAAACCAAGAGAGTAGTAGGCCGGATGTCATAGCACCGTCTTGCTGGCATCACAACCCTTGCTCGTAATGCTGTGTCTCTGAGCATCAGCTCGCCGAAGTCATACCTCCTGGGCTGTTAACATTGTGCCATCGGACACGGCATCGACATATGCAGCGTGGGGACAGCATTAGCAGATGCTTCTCAAAATATATAGCCTTGGCGATCGTACATTTGGTTTGGTATATCCACTAAATAAACAGCGACTCTCGCCTATGCGGCCCATTGCCATGAACGCCATCGATACAGATGATGTCGTTCCCTCAACAATGCCAGCAATATGGGATACTGATAATCCCGCCAGTACGAGGTAGACTTGGGTGTCGAGGCTCCTTGATGGCTTGATCTAAATCTACGGATTGCCTACGAGTCCATATCGCAGTAGCTAGGATGCAAAGCGTATTCTGCACCTGGGGGGGGAAGACAATGCCAATTTTCACATGGGGATAGAGGGCAGGAGGTCCTATGGTTCGACATGGCTGGTTGACAAGGATAAGGGGGTGTAGGGAAGGAACACGCTCGAGGCCTGTCACGGTTGCTTGCAGGGCGCGTTGTCCCGTTTTTGCCCAAGGTGATCGATCCCTATTTGCTAGTTATCGGTCATGGGCTCGTAGGTCTGGAGCACATGCATATGCCCAACTACGTGATTTAACCGCCGTAAAAGAAACATCCGCAGCATCTGCTGTAATTACCTATCAGTTGCCCCTGACTTGCCCTTTTGAAGCCTCGCTGCTCTCTGCTAGACTTGGGAACTTAGCCAAGTGCTGCACCTTGCAAATCAAATACCGAGCCCACCTCAGGAAAAGAACGAGACTGGCAAATTCATGCTAGGCTCCTTTGAGGAAAGTGGAAGTTGAAGGTCGAGGGTGAGTTACAGTGGAGCGTCTGACAGTCATCACATGACGGGGAGTAATCAACCATGCGCAGTGGAAGCCTTGGCCACACAAACACGTCAACAAACACGAAGTCGCGTCAACTTTCTTCGCGCAAGACGGGAAGCGTTGCAGAACCAGCCCAGAAACTAGGGGATCAAATTGTCACCCATGTAGAACACCCTTGATTGCCCTTATGGTACAGAAGCCTGAAAGCAGAAACCAAATCCCATGAACCATGACAACCCAACCGTGCCGACCGCCCAAAAGCCATCATAACGACATGAATCATTACCCCGCCTAGCCACCGAAACCGTAGAGTGTCCGGCCTTGCCTCTTCAGCGCGTAGACGACATCAAGGGATGTAACAGTCTTCCGCTTGGCGTGCTCGGTGTATGTGACGGCATCCCGGATGACGCCCTCGAGGAAGGACTTGAGAACACCACGAGTCTCTTCGTAGATCACTGAGGGACATATGGTAAGCAAAGGAAGTGACTTGGTGACAAGGCTCCTGCAACTTACTGGCCGAGATACGCTTGACACCGCCACGACGAGCAAGACGGCGGATTGCAGGCTTGGTGATGCCCTGGATGTTGTCACGAAGAATCTTCCTGTGGCGCTTGGCACCGCCCTTGCCGAGGCCCTTGCCGCCCTTGCCACCTATAGACCGTGTTAGTACAACGGTCGGACAGGCGAAAAAAGACCAGTCAGTAATACTTACGTCCAGTCATGGTGATGAGTGAGGTTGAAGTGTAGTACTAGTAGCTGGTAGGCAAATACAGCTGCGGCTGAGTGCGACGCAGGTGCGATGTGTGATGTGGTGGGGTGGTGATGTTGTTTTGGCTTCCGAGTTTGGACGGTTGGGGAAACATGGGGAAGACGTCTGTTAAATATGGCAGTGGAGCTGCAGGATACAGGCAGCAGAATCAGACCGGATCAGTGATCTAACCAAGCTGATTAGCTGGGCCACTGCCCATTGGCTGAAATTCCGACGCGCACCGCATTGACCAGCGGCTGCAAGCAAAATAAACACTAAGGCGCGCTAGAACAGATCTGGATTTTCTTGTGCCTACCCGCCACACTCTTGCCACCAAGGGTGGCGCATGGCAATGGAAGTTGTCTTTCCCATCGCATTACGGCGGCTGTGAACCGCAAATGAAGCTTGCCAATTATGTAGTTGTACGGTTGTACCTATGGTACTTGTGCTCTTACCCTGGAGATCTGCCGCCTACTACGGATGCCTTTCCTGGGCCCGAGCGGTGCCGCTACATCGCCTGGGTAAAGCTTTGCCCTTCAGTGACTTTGTTGTCCGAGGCCGGTCGGCCGGAGATATGCCCGTACGGCCCGTACTATCCGTATTATCTATGTAGGGTCCCGAGTCTCAAAGTCACAAATGCCAACTGTATCCAGATTCAGGAATAATATGGCATGCCCTCTGCCTCGGAGACACCTAGGTACTGTATTTGGTACACTTTGTGTGGCGAATAAGGTTGGGTCAGCTTTCCGCTTCGGGAGTTTAAGCCTTATGTGGCCCTTGCGTTGCCGTTGTTTTGCCATTTCCCCCTGTTCCAGCCAATAGAAATTCGGGAACCCGACACAGCCATTTTGCTTTGACAACTGCCACCAAAATCCTCGCACTTTTGACTAGCAGAACCGGGGCCCAATTTCCCTTGCAAAGGGCACCCAAATTTTTCGAATGCGCATCAACAAAAAAGGGCATTCACTCAATCAATCCGCCCGCCTAATCAGCCGGTAACGTGACCCACAACTGTGCCTACTTAAACCATCCGCCCCCCACCTCCATCCTTTCCTCTTTCAACCCACACACCTCACACTGCTCAGCCATCGACCAGCCGCCTCATCATCGATTTCATCACTGAACATCGCGCCTACCATCAAAACATCATTCAATACATCACTCAAGTCATCTACAATGGCCCGCACTAAGCAGACTGCCCGTAAGTCCACCGGTGGCAAGGCCCCGCGAAAGCAGCTCGCCTCTAAGGCCGCCCGCAAGAGCGCGCCGTCGACCGGTGGTGTCAAGAAGCCTCACCGCTACAAGCCCGGTACCGTCGCTCTTCGTGAGATCCGCCGCTACCAGAAGTCCACTGAGCTTCTGATCCGCAAGCTGCCCTTCCAGCGACTTGTGAGTACCCCGCCCTCGTCGGAACGCGAGAATCGCGTCCGATAAACAGCCAGACCCACAACCATCTTACTGACGCGTCACAGGTTCGTGAGATTGCCCAGGACTTCAAGTCCGACCTCCGGTTCCAGTCTTCGGCCATCGGTGCTCTCCAGGAGTCGGTTGAGTCATACCTCGTCTCTCTCTTCGAGGACACCAACCTCTGCGCCATCCACGCTAAGCGTGTCACCATCCAATCGGTAAGCATACTGTGCATCTGTTCACATGCCGCGCGCACACGCTAACCCCCCATGCAGAAGGATATCCAGCTCGCTCGTCGCCTCCGGGGTGAGCGCAACTAAGACATGATTTTTGCGATGGCTTCACATGGGGTTTATTGGGTGTGGTCATGACTTCTACATCTGGGATCCTAGTTTGTCGGCGGTTCACCACGGGAAAGGGGATAACACGGCGTTTAATGATGCGTTGCTTTACATGCTGGTCTGTACATTACTCTGCAGCTTAGGGATGCTGCCAATGCTGAACGCCGGTTTATGATCATAACCTGGGCCATCAGAACCTGCCCGTGACATGCCTAAAGTGCCACTGTGATGATCTTGACGCGTCGCTCCGCGTTTCGACCGCCTGTTTGTTATTTGGGCGCTAGATTTCCCCAGCTGTGATGCACCGGCAAATAGGTACCTCGTGTATCCTTGTATGTATGGGGCTGCCACATTGGCACCTGCGACGAAGGCCCCTGTAGACACGTCGCGATACATTCCATACATATCCAATGGGGGGGGACGGTGGTGATCTCGTCCAGTTACCAGCCAATATTAATTAAATGCGTGATGCTTGAACTACGTAGGATCTCACAGGACTGCCTTCCAGCCACCCTGTCTCGGTTTTTCGGCGCCTAGGAACTGGAGCACCTGGCCCAGATGGTCGACTCCCCAGAATGCCTCTGTCTGCCCCTCCGTGTTTGTACATATCATCCAAGGGAGGCCAAACGCGCCGTCATCAAAGGCTCTGTCCGTGTTCTCCATCAAAGCCTTCTTGCCGACTGTCGCAGCGTCGGCAAGGACTGTGGTACTTCTTGTTAGCCGGGGCTGCCTACCTAGGTACCTAGTCTAGGCGGAAGGCACGAAGGTGTATCCTGCCTGCCCGGTGTTGGGATGGGTGGAGAAATGTTGGCCACATGGAACGTACCTTCCTCGGCTTCACGCTCTCCGAGAATGTCGGTCAAGATACTGCGTAGCGTCTCGGTTTCATGGGTCGGGGTGTGGTCGACCCAGTACTTGTGGAAAAGGACATCTAGAGTCCTGACCAGGCGCCCTTGGTTCTTTCCATCGGCCGTGTGGATCGCGGCGAGAGCCCTCATCGTGTTGAGCGTCAATGGTGGGAAGTTTTGGGGCATATCCTCTTTGAGAGGAATGGAGAAGGCCTTGGCCCATCGCAGCCGCTCAGCGGCAATCCATTTGTCCTTGTCTGTCGGGTATTCAGCTTGACTGGACTCGACCGCCACTGTAGGCAACGGCATCTCATGTCCAGGTGAGTCACATACTCTTGATGTTCATCGGCGGGGTGTTTCCGCACTGGTGGCTCTAGGTTCAGCTCCTGGTAAAAAGGCACATGCACAAGTTCGTTGCCGGCCTGGGGCTGTGGAGCGAAGCCTACATTTTTCATCAGTCCGCCGAGGAAGATTGGGACATAATTGATTTCGAACGCTTTGAAGGAAGGATCGTGCTGCAATTGCGTGAGTAACGAACTTGGGGGCAGCAGAGGAGAGAACACAAAAGCTCACCCGCAGGACGTAGAAGGCTTCGTACGCAAAGGGGCTGACGGTGTCAAGGTAAAGGGTGATTCTAGGTCGTGCCATGGTCAAACGAAATGTCACAACTGGTCTTGGAGATAATTATTTATCATTTACTCTATGCACTTGACGGCGACGGACTCGAGTTGAAGATCTGTAGATGGGCCAAACAAAACTTACCTCGGCTCGGCCTCTGCGTTGTCTGTTCGCGAAGCGGGGAACACAGCGAGGGGTCCGCTATACAGTAGGTAGAATACAGTAGTAAACTGACTACCTGGAAACTTGGCCGTATTTCCGTGGAAGCTCGCTCAGACTTGTGTGTGAAAAGCTAGATCATTTTGCATATCGCAGGCATTCACCTCAAAATCACATTTCAGTACTTCGGTCTATAGTGGAAGAGCCAGGCTAAAAGCGCCTGGTAATACAATATATACACCGGGAAGCTAAAAAAATATCACAGCACGCCTGACACCGCTCGACCGTATGGCCAAAACATGCCCTGGATCACACATACGCAGCCTCCCTCGTGCGTACGGCATCGAACTGCTCCGTCGGCACGTGGGTTAGCACGTCGAAGGCTCCGGTGCCAACCTTGCCGAGCCTGCCGAGAACGAGCCTGCCACTGGGTGTGCTGAGGTCGTCCCAGTCGCCGTCCAGAACAGCATCCGTGAGGAAGGCCAGCGTGGTCTCAAAGCTCATCTTGGTAAACGGGCTGACGTTGCCCCTGAGACCCATCCGGTTGAATGGTGTGAATCCTCCGTTCCTTGTCATGTAGTCGCCGATTAGATTGAGATGTCGGCTATCAACGCTGATGCCGTGGGAACTGAACACCCCGCGCAACTCCTGGATGATGGTGTTCCGGCAGGCCTCCACTCCGTACATCTCCAGGACCGCGGCCACGTCGTTTGTCGAGATCCGGTTGGGGTTGATGTAGTCGCCATACTGCTGCATTGCACGGAGATTGGTTCCCTGGGTGTGCACTGCCGGCACCTTGGTCTTCTCGCCAGTCTTGGGATCGATGACTTCGGCCTTTTCGTCGAAGGTGCAGACTCCCACGCCGTCGATCTGCTGAATCAAGGCCCTTCCGACAGCGTCTTGCACCAGGTTCAACATCAGGATCTTGGGCATCGCTGAGTCGAACTCGAGCGTGAACTCGCACCACTCTCCGCCGGCCTCGTCGCATCTGAACCGAGATATGCGGTTGTTGCGCTCCATCACGCGACTTTCTCGTGTATTCGAGCCTGCCTCCGCGCCGCCCTTCTCGGCAAGCTCGCTATCCCCACCCTCCTCCCCCTTAGGCTGCTCCGGTCCCGGGCTGCCGCCGTATGCCTCGTCCTCCATCTCATCAGCCCAGGGCGAAGCATCCCGCTCCATCTCTTGCTGAATCGCATCATCCTCATCGTCGTTCGGCCCATACGATACAGCCTCAGTCCTGTTCGACTTCTGCTTGGCGTTGGTTGCATCGTCATCGCCGCCCTCGTCGTCGTCATCCTCGTCCTCTCCGCGATCACCATCCGACTCAGCACTTGCGGCCGCCATTTCGACAACCCCTGACTTGATCCCTATCTCCGGCGCAGCTGCAGTATTTTGGTTACCTCTCTTCTTGATCTCCCTGGCCACGAGCCTCTGTAATGCGGGGATGAACTTCCTCTCGACAGTATCAAAGACGTCAGGTATCGTGATAGCGTAGGCCTTGGTATATTCCGCCGATGGGAAGAACCGTAGGCGCACCTCGTATATCTTCGCCAGCGGGTGGGCTATCCCTCTCCCAACTCGCTCCCTGACCGTCACGCGGTCTAGGACGTGAGAGAGCGGGAGAACACTGATTGCTTTCGCAAACGTTTCCCCGTCCTGCTGCGAGAGTTCCTCGTGGAGAACTAACGTCATGGCCGGCGTGGAGATTTTTGTACTGGCCGTCATCAGGATTTCTCGGAGGCGAGGAATACCCAAGGTGACGTTCTTGGCCGAGTGCCCCGCCAAATGGAAGGTGTTGAGTGTCATTTGAGTCGAAGGTTCGCCAACTGACTGGCCCGCAACGATGCCGACCGCCTCCCCGGGTGCGACCAGGGATCGGATGTATTTGGCGGCGATGATTTTCTCCGCCGTCTTTCGCGCGATGCCACTCCCACGCGATGATGCGCTGGAGCCCTTCTCCCGGATCAGTCCGTCCTGGTTTGCCTTGGTGTAGTCTGTCATGGCCTTGAAGAACTTCTCCGACGTTGCGAAAGCGAACCGCGCAGGATCGAGGTAAGCGGTAACGGGATCTACCACAGAGGCACTTTGGCTGCTGGAAGACTTGATCGCGCTCCTCATCTGTTTGATGATATCGTCCTTGTGTTCGAAGAGAACGCTGGAATTCATGTCGGCATAGCTGACTTGAGCCAACTGGGACTCGCGGTTCCGGAGCATGAATCCGAAATCGGTCAAGTATGTCTGCTTCGTAATGTCCAGACCATCCTCGCCATACAGGAATTGGATGAGGGATCCATCCGAATCTCTGACGGAGGTGTCGTAGGCGACCCCAAGGCCTTCCATGCCCTTGATAAGACATCTCTGCAGATAGCCCGAGCGAGACGTCTTGACAGCTGTGTCGATGAGACCCTCGCGACCGGCCATGTGATGGAAATAGTACTCCTGCGGTCTGATACCGGTCAAGAAGCGATTCACCACGTACCCTCCCGCCCTGACATCTGTATCGAAGGGCTTGAAGCTTGGGAGGGATTTACCGCTCACCATGAGCGGAACTCGTCGCCCCTCAAGAACTTGCTGGCCAAGGTTGCAAGAAATCAGGTTGGCGTTGACAGGGCCACCCTTGGCCCCAGAAGTGGTCATAGACTGCATGTGGTTCTTGGGGAATTGCTTCTCAAGCCCCGCGGGGAGACACTCCGAAGTTACCTGGCTGGACAGTTTAAAGCAGGTCTCGTTCACCAGCATATCCAGCCCCTCCTGCTTGGACTCGTCCCTCATTACCTCCTCCAGGCGCTTTAGGAGCTCGGGGTCGGACTCGTCTGGCTGCTGGTCCGAAAGTGTGACATACTTGGCGGCGACCTCGATACCAATGGAGCGAGCGGCCTTGAGCTTTTCTTTGCGGTCTGCTTCGCCCTTGGGGGTTAGCAGGAGGTCATCCATCCCGCAGGTAAATGCTCGCTCGTTGAGATATCTTGTCAGGAGCCGACCCATGCTGCTGAGGAGTTTGCCGGCGACGACGGGGCCGTAGACCTCGTGCACGCAGTGAACGAGGCCTCCGGAGCTGGGTCCAAGGTGGGCCTTGTCTAGGATGCCGGTAACGAACTCGCCATCGCGGAACATGACTTGTCCTTCCTCCACATGCACCCCCCATTTCTCGCCCCTGACCTGCGACTTGCCGTTCATCCACAAGTCGCCGCAGTTTGTCGGCCGAATGTTCTTCAGGATCGTGCTGATGACCTGCTTCCCTGTCCATCTGGCCACCGGCCTGACAATTGCAGGAGGGACCAGCTCGATCCTCTCCCCCATGATGTGACCACTCTCCGGCCTCAGGGCGTTGTAGATGAGTTGCTGATAGGACCTCTGGTCAAAGAAAGTGTCCTTGCTGCAGAGAATCACCGAAACGGAAATATGATCCTGAATAAGTCCTCGCAACGGCTTCCCCTGCGTGCCAGAGATGTACTGGTGATCAGTGTCGGCGAGTTGAAGCGCCTCGGTTCTCGCAATCTCATTCTGGGGGAAATGCATGTTCATCTCGTCTCCGTCAAAGTCGGCGTTGTACGTATTGGTATTGGCGTAGTGCATGCGAATGGTCTTCTCTCCGGGCAGCACCCTGACGCGGTGGCCCATGATCGAGGGCTTGTGGAGGGTCGGTTGGCGATTCATGAGGACGACGTCGCCGTTGGTCAGATGACGATGTACTTTCTTGTTCCTCGTGCCGCTGAAGTTGTTGCCGCTTGGCGCTAGAAGCTGGTTCGCGAGGGAAACACGGTCATCGAGGGACTTGTTCCGCAGGTTGATTATCTGGCCGTTCTCATTCTCGATCGCCGAGGCGCCGGGCCAGTTGTCTAAGCCGTTGATGACCGCTTGCTGCATATCCTTGAAGTTGTGACTCGTTACGGGCTCTGGGTAGGTGAGCTTCTTGGCAAACACGGGAGGTACTCCAATCTCGTTGGTCTCGATATTGGGGTCCGGCGAGATAACACTGCGCGCTGCGTAATTGACTCGCTTTCCCATCATGTTCTTCCGGAAGAGTCCCTCCTTCTTCTCAAGCTTCTGCTTGATTCCATCCTCGTTTCGCTTCGCGGCTGCTCCCTGTACGGGATTTCTGCTCCGGTCAATCAGGGAGTTGACACAGTCCTGGAGCTCAGTCCAGGCCACGTGCAGCGACATGATGTCCCTAGTCCGCCTGGCCTCGCCCTCATCCGAGGCGACAAGTTTCGACGACTCTTCGAGCTCCCTCGAGATTTGGGTCAACTTCGAAGCGCTCCTCAGTATCAGTTTGTACAGACTGTTCTGTTGGGCTTCGGAAATCTGTGCGTCACCCATCCGGGCTTCTGGTCGATATCGGTTTGGAGGCACTAAAATCGTCTGTAGGAAGAACATGTCTGGCGACAACGGTGGTGAGTTCTTGCGCCGAGGTCTTGAGCTGTAGAGCAGGGACATCATATCCTGCTCCTTTTCGAAGAGTAATTCCAGCCTCTGCATAACCTCCATGGCGCTGACGTAGCGTTCGGCTTTCTTCGCCACGCGTGGGCCCCGTGGTTTGGTCACTGAGTCGGTCATGACCACGTCGCCATTCTCGTCCAGCTCCTCCCCTTCACCCTCATCTTCTTCCTCCTCATCTTCTTCGCCGACCGTTGAGCCGGCATCAGACGTGTTGAGATCGCCAACTCCTTCGTCTGAAGCGAGCTGATCAGCCTTCATTTTCGCCCTCTGCTTCATCAACAAAGCATCCCTCCGCTTCAGATTCAGCTGGATCATCTTCGCCTGATCTTTTGGGGTCAGGGCCTTCTCAAAGATCTTCACGAATCTGTCCTTGCGGTAGGTTGGCGATATCCCGCTACAGCTGGAGCATCCCTTGGCCTTGATTATGTCGGCAAGAAAGTCCTTGACTAGTTGCCTCCGAAGCTCCGAAGCACCCTCGTGCTTCCCTTTTCTAACGTCGCCTTGGTTGATCCTCTGCTCTCGTAGGACCTGGTGCAAATATTTGTCCCTGGCCTTCATAATGTTGTCTGCCGATGCGTCGTCGTCCCCGTCTGAGTCCTCGGCGTCCTCGGCCTCTTCATCTGGCACGTCGGCAAGAGCTAGGCCGAAGTAATCCTCGCCTATGGCATCAACCATCTGGGCTTCGCGCAGTAGACCATACTGGAGCAGTCGAAGCATGCAGGCGTATCGGTGGAGTTCTTTCCGGGCCATTCGGAATCTGTGACAGTATACGCATTGCGCCCGCAGCAAACGATACACCTGGTCCATAAACACTGGATGATAGACCGGTGCGGGGAGTTCGATGTGACCTGCGTGGCCGGGGCATTGCGATTGACCAAGATTGCAAGTAGAGCATCTAAGTTACAACAGTCAGTTTAGGGCATGGGGCTGGACGTCAAGTCTGAACAGAGAGAACGAGGAGCTTGCGTACAATGCGTCGCCCCAAGAGCCGAGCGCCGGGTCGTACAGGCCGCCAGGAACGGGGTTCAGGAGGCTATCAAAGGTATTGTCATTCTCAATCCTCCGGACAGAGATTGCCCGGATTTCTTTGGCGGAGAGAAAAGTGAATTCGACGCTCTCCACAGAGGAGGCGACAGGCTGTGAGATATTCATGGTAGCAGGCTGCAGCCCGAAGCATGATATGTGCGAGCAGAGCTGACTCCTTCGTTAATCGACTTGACCTGGCTGCAGCTCGGAACGGTCAAGCGTTAATACACAGTCGATCACGAACAAATTCAGACCGAGTAGAGGGGGGTGGGGAGCAGCGAGGGTGGTGAGGATCAATTTTTTGGCGGTCAGACCTGGCAGAATAGCTAGCTGAATTTGACTACCCTTAACCAAGGTGAGGCACGGTGGGTGGTACCCAGGTAGTAAGCAGAGCTCGCAAATGGTGGCCAGGCAAAGAAAGATTCCACCACCGAACTTTGCCTCGCGTCCTCTCGCACCTGTCGCTCTCGGTAGGTTCGAGATTTTCATGGTCATCCACATTTATACCGGATAAAACGACAATACATAAGGACCACCAGCAACACGCGACACATTCTGCGGCCTGCTTTTGTTTGTTACCGTGCCAGGTGGTCTTGAGAGCGCGTGGCCATCTCACTTTCACCAAGGCCAACGATCGAAACCCTCGCGGCATCCATCGTGCGATCTCGGACCACATCCAGTAAATACGGAAACCATCCAACCATGGAACGAAACCGCAACTCGTCCAATAGCCTCGGCCCTCGACACGATGCGACATCTCGAGTCCAGAAGCCCGAGCCCGCGGCCGACAGAATGGCAGCGCTCAAAGCTCGCGTAGCTGCTGCCATCGGGAGCAGCAAAGCGAAGGGGGGCTTGAATGTCGGTCTTCATCCCGCACTCGAGGACCTGGGCCAGTGGAAGCCTTCGGGCAAGTCCCAAGATCCCGGGTCTGCGAGCGGGAGCGCGCGATTCCAGGGCGACTCGGCGAAGTCGTCCGGCAAGAAGAAGCAACTAGGCATCTCGAGCCTTTCCACAGACGCGAATCGGAGCAACCCCTATTACGATGCCAATGCGCCCGGTCATGGCGCGGCTGGCAGACAGAGGGAGTCGAGGCAGCTTATTTTCAACCAGAAGGGAAAATACATCCAGCAGGCCAATGCCCTCCGAAGGCAAGCGGCGTTGGAGGCCATGAAGAAGCGCATCGCTGAACAAACGCGCAAGGTTGGGATTGACGAAGACCTCGATTTGGAGAAGAATTTTGTCGTGGAAGCGCCCCCCGACATTGAATGGTGGGACGAGGCGTTGGTGGAAGGGAAAAACTACGACGATATCGACGATCCAAAGACACTCAAGATCGTTTCCCCGGATAGCATCATAACTGTATACATACAGCATCCCGTCGCCATCGAGCCGCCCCAGGACCGGCATATACCACCCCCGAAGCCCATGTATCTGACCCCGAAGGAGCAGAAGAAACTCCGCAGGCAGCGGCGGATGGTGGATCTGAAGGAAAAGCAAGCCAAGATCAGGCTGGGCTTGGAGCCAGCCCCGCCTCCCAAGGTCAAGAAAGGAAACCTGATGCGAGTACTCGGCGAGGAAGCCCTTCAAGACCCGACCGCCGTCGAGGCTCGGGTCAACAGGGAAATCGCCGAGAGGCACCAAGAACACCTTCAGGCGAACGAGGACCGCAAGCTGACAAAGGAAGAGAGGCACCAAAAGATTGTGGCAAACCGGGAGAAGGATGCGCAGAAGGGCATCCACGTCCTGGTGTTGAAGATCGGAAGCCTCGCTAACGGGCAGCATCGATACAAGATTGCTGTTAATGCGGAGCAGCATGGGCTGACAGGCGTGTGCATCATGCACCCTAGCTTCAACCTTGTCGTTGTAGAGGGGGGAGAATACAGCATTGGCAAGTACAAGAAGTTGATGCTCGACCGGATCGACTGGACCGAGAATGTGCCGTCGCGCGAGAAGGAGGACACCAAGGGGACAGTTCGAGATTGGCTAAAGGCGGAGGACGAGAAGGGCATGCTCAGGGACATGTCGCTCAACAAGTGCACTCTGGTCTTTGAGGGAGAGGCCAAGGGTAGAGCGTTCAGGAAGTGGGGAAGCAGAGTCTGCGAGACCGACTCCGAAGCACGAGATGTCCTGGCCCGGACCAAGATGGAGAGTTTCTGGGTACTGGCCAAGAACTTGCAAGGGAATGCGGTATGAACTTGCCAACAACGGTGTTGAGGATGATGCGGAGGTGGAAACGAACCAAACCTGTGTCAAGCTAGCGTGGCTATTCCCATTTGTTTCCCACGCCGCATATTCGATTTAGCTCTGTTCAATACCTATCTATCTACTGCCTAGGTGGGTGGTAGGTAGTTTACAGCCATGCTTGGAGTTTCCGTTGAGATGCTGGTCCTGTTCTCCAATAAACCCAACCACTGCTTCGTGGGGTTGATGCCACACTCTGGCCCGTCTGTCGAGGAGGCTATGTTGGTGATGGAGACTGGGACTTGATTGACCCTATCCGATCATGCACTCTCTCCGCACCTCAGGCAACCATACAATAACACCCCGGTGTAACCAGTCTGTGCTTCGTGCTCACGCGGTAATACACTGCATTAGAAACGCGATCCAGGGAGCCGGATGACGCGAGGATGGTCAGATTTGCAACTTGACGTGTGACTGTGGCTGTGGTGCAGGCCGTCCCGCCGGCCAGATCCAACACCACCTTTCACCGCATCCGTTGGACTGCCGTGGGCAGGGGCTGGGAGGTGGTGGCCTGGTGAGCCGGGAAGGCGGGAAAGGGGAGCCACCGATGAACGCGCCATGCACGCCGTCGAGCCGCAGGATGCTTCTCCTGGCACCCCCGGGGCGAGCCACCTCCGTCATTCGTCCGATTCCCGACCCGTACATGTTTGATCCGCCGAGGTTCGGCTGACGTGAAAAGGGTCGGACCGCATCCTAGAGGCGTTTGGAAGGCATGATGGTGCTCTTTTGAGGTCTCGGGGGGCTCGGAAAGTTGGACAAAGTGGCCTTTTTGGCCCCCAATGCCAGGGAGATTTGGGGGGGAGGGGGGAAGGGGTTTGGATGGTAAATCCCGGCAGAAGCATGTGGACCCAAACTCCAAGTTTGCCCTTGCATACAATGAATGCAACCCATGGGCGCCTCCACGGGCTTCAGCAGTATTCTCTGACCTTTAACGGCAACGATGCCGGGACCGATCCCTCGGAGGGTTATGCACCGCCAAGTTGCACAGCCGCTCCTTCTAAAATCTCAACGACATTCCGCTGAAACCACATCCCTTTTGCGTGTGCTGGATCCTTGAAGAGATGACTCGTCTGGATATATCTTGGCCTCGTGAGTCACCGCCGTGTAACTTGGCGGGTAACTATGAGCTGCAGGGCCAGCATCAGCTCTTGGTAATTGACCCCACGATGGAGAGATCAAGGAATCGTTATAAAAATATTCCCAACTGCATACAACTCTTGGCCAGTACCAGATCTCGGGCCCCGGCCTTATTGGTAGAGTCTTGAATCCTGGCTCAGGCAGGGTACTTTTACATCATAACCCCTGACCGTTTGTTGGTCCCTTGAACAGGGGTGACAGATCCTCCTAGCTAAAAATATCGATTCCCATAATTTCACTGCGGGCTTGAGATACAGGGCGGACACAGAAGGATGGAATGTTTTATATGGAACGGAATTTGGTTTGAAGTGTATTTATATATCTATTTCTACATTGGAAAGTCAGGAAAGAATTACCTGGTATAGGTACGCAGCGGATGTATGTCCCTGAAGTCCAGCATCGTCCAGTCCCTGCTCCAGCATAGGTACCTAGGTACCTATGAGAATAAGTACACCAGGTATACGACGGTTCATTCATACTGTGTTCCATCTTCTCGCCGGGGCTCTCCCGCGGCCTCGGGTTACAGCCAATAGTGTTGCTGCTCGTCGATCTGCGGTTGGGTTGGGTGGGTCCTATCTGTGCCCTGCAGGATCTTGATCCTTGTCTGTGGCCTGTCGTCTCTTTAACCTTCTTTTTGTCTAATCTAATCTGTTTGTGAGGTATCGCAACATTACGCAGTAGACTGGGTCCTGCAGACCAAATGTATGCCGGCGTCAGCCTTCTGCCGCATCTCACTTGGGGCTGCGGCGCAGGCAAAGGGTCAGATCTCCTGAGGATTGGATGACGACGGTTCTGATCTTTGGCTGCATTTGCCATGCTGTATCTTCGATGCTGGGTCTGATCTCAAGAGGTGGGTTTATATATTCTTCTTGGTCGGCGTTATGCAGCCGCTTAAAGTGTTGCAAATCAGTGAACTCCTTCTAAACATCGAGCAATCGTATCTCCTTTCCGTCTTGTCACATGCCATTGGCCTTTGACATGCCGCAGCAACGAGTATCTTTCCTATACTTTGCTGGCAGGACATTTCCCATATACGCCAGCCCAATAGCTCTACAACCCGGCCATAATAGCCCCATTCCTTACGCTGAATCCACGTATGCAACCAAACTGTAATCAGACCTAGAACAGGCCACGGGAGAAGGAAAAGGAGAATGCATACTCGTGTGCCATTTGTCTGAGAAGCTCTCATCTCTGGCCACTTGTCAACAACGTCCCCACAAGTGGCTCTGCCTCGTTTCCACACCTGCCACCCTGTCTCTGCTCCGCATTGGCCGAGGTGTCGATGAGAGCATGCCGCTGCTGCTCAGAGGGAGGGGTGCCATTGGTGGAAGGCCACCCGGTGGCTGAACCACTTGGCTCATGGGACCACTTCCCATCGGTCGTACGCCTTGGCTGAGGCCGTCGTAGTTATCGCCCTGGAGATCCAGTGTACCGAGATCGAATCTCTTTGAACACCCATCATCCATGTGCCTGCAGAATCGTGTTAGTATATCGTGCCACTCGCCCTGGTGTCGGGGTAAGGAGGAGAGGGGGGATGTCGAACCTCCTTAGCGTGTCCTTGCGAGCAAACGAGCGGCTGCAGTAGTCGCATATATGGCTGCGCTCCTTCATGTGTACGCTTTGATGGTGTCTCTGAAGGTCCGTCTTCCGGACAAACTTCTTGATGCAATCGCCGACCGCGCAGGGGAATGGATACTCCCGCTTTTCGTCGTGTGTCTCCTTGTGTGCCTTGAAGTTGTAGCTGCGACTGAACAGTTTCCCACATCCACTGACCGGGCATTGGTAATTTGCCTCCTCCCTGGTCGTCAACCGGCGGGGCGCCTTGCGAGGTCGAGCGGCGCGGTATTGGTTCCTTGGGTCCTCTGTGAGCGTAGATGGGGTATTGTCAGCCGCTGGGTAGTAGAACTGGTCGGGTTCAACGGGCTGGTAGTCGGATTTATGCCAAGATGACTGGCCATCCGAGGGATATCCAGATGCGCTGCTCGTGTAAGACGGGTTGTTTGGGTGGTAGGCGGAATGAATAGGTGGTGGGGATGGATAGTGGGACACCTCGACTCCTTGGCCGTAACCGGATGCTGTTTCCATCTTCAACTTTGGGGTTAAAGACCCCGCCGCCGAGGATGCCGATGGGTACGAGGTCGAAGACCTCGAGGAGGACCTAGGGGCCGATCGTGGAGCAGTTTCAGCGGAGACTGGTGTTGGAGTAGAAGATGGGTGAGACTGGGCGTGGTGGGGTTGGTAGACGTCCTGGTCATATGCGGAAGATAGAGTTGATTCATAGCCACCAAATGCATCGTACTCGGACGACATGATCGTCGGCATTGCTGATGCCGAAGACGATGGGTGGATAACGCATGTCGTACTCCACTCGGACTGGCTCATGGCGTTGAGGGGCGGAAGAGATGGCTCGGGGTGGATAGAAGGTGGAATGGAGCAAGGCGTGTCACTGTCGTATATGGATGAAAGCTTGTACTGCTGCTCCACCAAGCTCGGCGATGGGTAGTCTAGGGAGGACCTCTCTGAGGAGCAGTAGGTGTTCGAGGAAGAAGAGGGCGATCTAGTGAGAGACGGTGGCCTGAGGTCCATGACTGATTCGAAGTCTTGTGTGGCTCCGAAGGTGTTGGACGTTGGACGTTGGACGTTTAGGTGTTTAAGAAGGAGGCGGAGGGAAATGACCAGACAGGACGGAACAGGACCAGTCTGTTGGATAATTAATTATAAATGTGCCAGGTTTGCACGAAGTCAGGGACTTCTGGAAGCTGGTTGGTGTTCTTCCTTAGGATGGTGCGGACGTTGGCGTGGGATGAGACGCGGTGATATATAACGATAGTAACCTCTGGCGGGCCCTGTGGAGGAGAATATTGACCACTAGCAGCAGACGAATAGGTTGGTGAGGTCAGCATGCAGACAACCCTCCTTACCTTCCAGATCGATACCTTCATAGAGTGAGGCAGACCGGAGATAATAGAAGCGCGGACGGTCGACAAGGCAGAATCTCCTGGTGTCCTAGGATACTTATTTGCAGGCCCAGCTTCTGCCTGGTTGATAGCAGGCGGGGATGTAGTATATCAGGAGCAGACCCTTTATAAATGAACTTGGGGGCCAGAAGTACGTTACACCCAGGGCCAGGAGGGTGCACGTAGAGATGCATGGGGCCATCGAGTTCCATGCAGGAAACCAGAGGCAGGGACGTGGAGGGGAAGATTGGAGGGAAGTCCCGTCTGTCAAGATGGGGGTGGAGAAAAGGGGGGGGGGGTTGCAGCAGAATGGGTCCCCGGGCACTGCTAGTTGGTAGGAGAGGATGTGGGACAGGGGTAAGTGCAAGTATCTAGCAAAGAACAGTTCATGATACATAGACTTCGACGAAGGAGATGCCAGATCATGACGGAATGAACCGCTGAAGAGAGATGGGAGCCTTGCTGCCAATTTCCTGATATTTTTTGGCTCGCCCCTGGGTTGACTGAATCAACGCAGGAAACAGACAGGTCCAACAAGACCCAGGGCGGACGGTCGTATGTAGGGCTCCTAGCATTATTGGAGGGGGGGTGGGTTTGTTGATGGGGGCCGAAAGAGAAAGAAGAACAGAATGTATCCGTGGATGCATCCATGGATATTAACCAGGGTGCATGGGTATAGATCTCTTCATGTCTGGGAGAGCATAGCCACCTTTTCAACAGCCTGTTGCAACGTCAAATGGCGCTGCCTGGAATTGCTTCTTTTCTTTCTCTTTTCTTAGCCCTCAGAACGGAGTACTGTGGGTAGATTTGATACATTGAGCATGGTGCTGGTGCTTGGAAAGGGTCTCTGGTGATCAGGGCCAGAATGTGACCAAGGAGAGATGGCAAGCCCCTGCCGAAGAACCACGCTAACAACCTATTGGTATGTACGAGGTAGTATTCTACTGTGTGCTCTAAACTTAAGTCGCACTGTCTTGTTGACCACTGCGCAATGTCAGCATGTACAGCACTGGTCGGCAGACACGGCACGTACTGCATAGTACGTGCGTACTTTCAGCGCGACATGGAAACCGCCGCTAGGAAGGTCCAGCATTGATGCTCAGCTATAAATGAGAACCAACTGGATCTATACAAGGACAGGATTGGCTTTCATTCATCTGACCAAGGTCTAAGTATGGAATTGGGGTCTGGCCGTGAAAACCTAAAAATTGTCCCTGCTTGGTGACACAGCAGGTTCGCGGATGGGACTCGCGCATGCATGCCCTAAAAATGATCTGGCGCGCGCTTATAAGTACCCAGCATATAGTATCCACCCAATGCTCAGGTTCTTTTGGTCCTATTTCTGTGACGAGAGGTATCCTATTTCTGCCAAAACCACCAACATGAAAAACAGTCATTCCGGTTATATCCATTGGTGCTTATCCGTAAGGTCTGTTGGTTGTTCCCATCAGGCCTCAAAGAGCTGAATTAAGGTAAGTCTGCCGGAAACTTGCACTCGGGGGCTTTTCATAGTGCATGTCTTCCCATCCTCCCTCTATTCTGCTTTTGGCGACAACATTAGATAGTATATGTGCAACGTAAACTACCAACCTACCTACCTATCTAATAATTTTTTCGAAGACCTGTACACCGGAACTCAACAACCGTTTCTCGAGTCCCATGTTAGATAACAGTGTCAGTTAACATGCGCAAGTGCGTTTTGGATGGATAGCACGGCTGTCGGGGTTATTTTGTTAGGTGATAAGGGCTGATTAGCCGTCTGGAATTTGCACCGTGTCATCTGAATAGGGAACTGCACTGTGCTGCAGCGTTATATCACGTGATCACGCTGGATGTTCGTGCCAAAGCCGCGAACCTGAACCAGGTGAAGTTCATCAGGCAGAAGAAGGTTCTCACCCTCATTGAATTATCAAACCGCAATTTACATACACCTGAGCGGGCCGCACACACAACACACGTAAGAGGGAAATTCCGCGGAAATAAAGACTCGTGGAACTCGTGGGATTTCTTAAGTCGAATCACCGCCGAATTAGCAGCACATCCCCAACAGCCTCCCCACTCCTAGGTGGGTGGGAGTCGGGGCAATCGCCATCATGAAGTTCAACATCGAGTATGACGTACCCTAATGAGCCGGCCGGCACACCAAGCCAATGGAATGCTAACCCCATTTCTCTTGCTGAAGTGACCTACCGGTGCTCTTTCCCTACCCGCGAATATACCCAGGTAAGTTTTCCACTCGGGGGCATAGAGCGCTGTGCGATGGCTGATGGACGTGTGGCAGAACAATATGCGTAAGTAAGTCCGAGCTGGCCTCTGACACGATGCCGTTGGCTAACCTCTTGTGAACTCCGACTTAGCTATATGTGTGACCTGAAAAGTAAGCAGAGTCGGATAGATGTGGTTGAGGATTGGAGCTCACCCACGTCTCAGGGACTCTAGATGCCGGTGGCCACTGCGTACTTGAGATGCCCTCGGGTACGGGGAAAACGGTAACTCTATTGTCTCTTATCGTTGCGTACCAGCAATACTATCCGGAGCATCGGAAACTCATCTACTGCTCTCGTACGTCATTCGTCCCCAGACTATCTAAACCGCATCTAATGCCCTGATTCGCAGGTACCATGTCCGAGATCGAGAAGGCTTTGGCTGAGCTGAAAGCCTTGATGAAGTACCGCACGGAGCAGCTTGGCTACGAGGAAGAATTCAGAGGTCTCGGGCTTACGAGTCGGAAGAATCTGTGTCTGCATCCTTCAGTGAAGAGGGAAAAGAGCGGAGCTGTTGTCGACGCACGCTGTCGTAGCTTAACGGCCGGCTTCATCAAGGAGAAGAAGGAGAGGGGCGAGAACGTGGATGTCTGCGTCTACCATGATGTATGTATGCCCGTGTTTCTTCCGCCCGTTGCATCTCACTACTGACTGTGCCCAGAATCTCGACCTTCTTGAGCCCCATAACCTGATACCAAACGGCGTATGGACTCTGGATGGCCTCCTACGCTACGGGGAGCAACACAAACAATGCCCATACTTCACATCACGACGGATGGTACACTTACCCCTGTCTCTCCGCACATTAACGCTCTTGCTAAACAAGCAAACACTTCTCAGATGCAATTTTGCAACGTCATCATCTACTCATACCACTACCTTTTGGACCCCAAGATCGCAGAGCGAGTATCAAAGGAGCTCTCGAAGGATTGCATCGTCATTTTTGACGAAGCTCACAACATCGACAATGTCTGCATCGAGTCACTCAGTACCGACATCACCGAAGATTCATTAAGGAAAGCAACCAGGGGGGCTCAGAACCTAGACAAGAAACTCAGCGAGATGAGGGAGACCGACCAACAGCAACTGCAAGACGAGTACGAGAAGTTGGTCCAGGGCCTTCGTGACGCGGACGAAGCTCGTCAAGAGGATGCATTCATGTCCAACCCAAGCAAGTCGCCCTGCCACAGCTTGTTTATCCTGGCGTACATACTGACTAATATTCTGAGCAGCTCTGCCTGACGACTTGCTCAAGGAGGCCGTGCCGGGTAATATCAGACGGGCAGAGCACTTCGTGGCTTTCCTGAAGAGATTTATAGAGTACCTCAAGGTCTGTTCAGCCCGCACCACCAGCCCGCACCACCTCCCTCGCCTGGACCTCTGAGGACCTCTCTAACTGGGCTGCTTCAGACCCGCATGAAGGTCCGACAAGTAATCTCAGAGACGCCGCCCTCCTTCCTCGCTCATCTCAAGGAATACACGTTTATAGAGAAGAAACCCCTGCGGTTTTGTGCGGAGCGTTTGACATCGTTGGTGAGGACGTTGGAGCTCACCAACATCGAGGATTACCAGCCTTTACAGGAAGTGGCCACATTCGCGACCCTCGTGGCAACCTACGAGAAAGGCTTCCTACTCATCCTGGAGCCTTTCGAGTCTGATACTGCCGAGGTTCCCAACCCGGTCCTCCATTTCACATGCCTCGATGCTGCCATTGCCATCAAGCCGGTCTTTGACAGATTCAGCTCCGTCATTATCACATCGGGGACTTTGTCTCCGCTGGAGATGTATCCGAAAATGCTCGGCTTCTCTACCGTCGTGCAGGAATCGTACAGCATGACACTGGCGAGACGGTCTTTCTTACCAATGATCGTCACTCGCGGTAGCGACCAGGCTTCCATCTCGACGAGTTTCCAGGTCCGGAACGAACCGAGCGTGGTGCGGAACTACGGCAATCTCTTGACGGAATTCTCCCGCATCACCCCGGACGGTCTAGTGGTATTCTTCCCATCCTACCTCTATATGGAGTCCATCATCAGCATGTGGCAGGGGATGGGCATTCTGGATGAGGTGTGGAAGTACAAGCTCATCCTCGTCGAGACCCCGGACGCGCAGGAAACGTCACTGGCGCTCGAAACTTACCGCACTGCATGCTGTAATGGCCGCGGCGCAGTGCTTCTCTGTGTTGCCCGGGGTAAGGTATCGGAGGGCATCGATTTCGACCACCAATTCGGGCGGGCCGTGCTGTGCATCGGCGTGCCATTCCAGTATACCGAGTCGCGGATCCTCAAGGCCCGCCTCGAGTTCCTCCGCGAGACGTATCGCATCCGCGAAAACGACTTCCTCTCCTTCGACGCCATGCGGCACGCCGCGCAGTGCTTGGGACGAGTGCTGCGAGGTAAAGACGACTATGGCGTCATGGTGTTGGCAGATCGGAGGTTCCAGAAGAAGCGACCACAGCTTCCCAAATGGATAAACCAGGCCCTGTTGGATGCCGACACGAACTTGAGTACGGACATGGCAGTCAGCAGTGCGAGGCGATTCTTGAAGGGAATGGCTCAACCCTTCAAGGCTAAGGACCAGGAAGGCATTAGCACGTGGAGTTTAGAGGACCTGAAGAGGCATCAGGAGAAGCTCGCTGAGGAACAAATCAAGGAGCTGCAGGCGCAGAAGAACGTCGAGCCAATGCAAGGCGTGGAAACGAACGCTGGCGGAGGGGATCACAGCGATTACGGGATGGATGACGAAGACGAACAGGATCTAATGGCTCTGGATGGAAATTAAGATTCACACCGGGCTGTTCCACCCTGGAGGGGGTATATCTCACATGTACTCCGTACAAAAACGCCACCTCTACCAATAGATAATGAGCAGGCTAAAAAGAAAGACGCTCTTCTACTGCTATACAATGCATGGGCCGGAATCCCGGCTCGCTCCCTCTTCTTCCCCGTCTCTCCCTCTCCACGAGCAGCTAAATGTGAGCATCGACTGACTGCTTGCTTGCTCTCTCTCTGCCGACTGACAACCACCCTTTCTTTGTTTACTTTACGCCCGGGATCTGGCGTTTTGCTGCCTTGATCGCTCTCATCTCGGGAAGGGTGCTAGATCTTCCTGGCTTCCGGCCAATCTCCACGCATAGCAAGCGGATGAGGTCCTGGTTGACCCAATAGCTGGTGTGAGCGCTCAGCATGTTGAGGTACTGTATCTCCAGGGGCCCGCCGCCGGACCGCAGGTAGTAATCGATTTGGCCGTTGTCGTTGAGGAGGTAAGCCTTCCTCTCGCTCATCTCTTCGCGCGTAAAGTCGTGCACCTCCAACTCGAGCTGTGACGGCAGGCTGCTCGTGGGCGGGTTCTTGGTCGGTACCGGCACGGTCGGGGCCGCGGGAACCCCGACCATGGCTCGCATCGCATCACCAACCGACTTGATAAATGACGTGGTTGCGCTGGGAACATATGCGACCCTGAGGCTTGATGCATACTTTGGGTCAATGGTGCCGTTGAGGAGGTAGGCGATGGGGTCTTCTCTTGCTAGGATGTTGTAGATGTTGTCCACCGCGAGGCAACCAAACGTGCCCACTTCTCCAACCACATCCTGAGCAATGGCATCACTCGGGTCAGCACCCGGTTTCACTCGTCCGCGCCGGGGTACCAGACATCCCCTCTCGAGCAGGAGGAAGAAGCCTGCCGGACTTCCAAGAAAGAACAGGTTTGTCGTGTCAAACTCAAAGTGGTCGGTCGCCGGTATCCTCTGCGGGGTTAGATGCAGGCGAGGCAAGCTGGTGGGCTGCTTCGAGAGAACCTCGATCGCCATCACGCTGCCCAGAGAGTGGGCAATCAGGTGGACCCGACCGTTCTGGGGAAACCCCGGGTTGTTCTGGCACCAGAGGCGGTACACGCGGTTCGCCTCCCCGACAAGAGCCGCTATCATCTTCGGCTTGTGGTGGGACATGTAGAAAGGGATGTCAAACATGACGTCTGATATCATGCTCCGCACTGCAGGGATGGTGCCTGGCTCGATATCTTTAAGACTGAACTTATCCGGTGAATATGAATCCTTGTCCTCTGCCTTCGGGGGCCCTCCATCTTCCAAAGAGAGAACGTGGCGCCAGTTGACCGGAAGGACCATGATCCCATGCTGTTCCTCACGCAGGACCGACTTCACCGCATCGGTCTGAAGCTCGATATTGACCGCTGTGCGGAAGGCATTGATGGCGTGAGTGAAGTGGAAGCTTTCGACCCTCTCGGCGAACTTCTGGCCGATACCATGCGCGACGAGGACGAGATCAGTGACCTGGCCGCGATCCCTGTCCGCTTGACACCCGGGACAGCCGTTCGGTTGACTGGGACGGATGCCTTCGCCATCGCGACCGAGACGGTGGGGTTTCGGGCCTGTTGACTGCCTCTTCTCATTCAAGCGCTGCCAAGAAAGCCAATCGAAGCCTCTAACGACCGGGATGCCGACCGTTATGCCTTTCATGACTTTGGCGACAGGCCTGCGCCCATAATAAGCGGACGGCTTGAGGCTCGGCTTCAACAAAAAGGCAGAATCCTGGTCCTTGTAGATGACATGGTAGTTGGCGTAACTCCTCGTCTCAGCACTAGATCCTGCGGACTTGTCATCTGAATGAACCGCTTCTAGCGTGCCGACGGCAGCAGCTTCTCCCTTAAAACACCTCGCAGCGCAGAACGGGTCACTGGATATGGCCGGCACATGAGTCGTCTCGTCAGTCGCCTTGGATTTCTTGCCAGAAGGCTCGGGCCATAGGCGGTGAGATATCTTCTCCTCCCCAAGAGCGCCAACCTCTACGGCCGATCTAAGTTCGTCGGCCCATGTCTCAGTCCATGACCGCAGTTCCCGATACCCAGCCTCCAACTGGTTTGCAACAGCGGGCTCCACGGGCACCAAGCCATCTCTGCACACGTCAGTGAACGCGAGGCCCCGTGTCCGGCATGTCATTCTCACCTGTAGAACCAAGTAGCTCGCATGACTATAGCGATGTCGTTAACGGGGGACCAGTATATAGGCTTCATTTGGAGTACTGGTAGCGAGACCATATGCAGTCTAGATATGCCTACTGCAACGTCGACAGACTCCTCGACAGACGCCTCTGAGACGTCAGAGCGAGGGGTCGCCACCGTTTGCGGCTGCGGTTTATTCTCTTTTGGCTCGTTTCGACGAGCGCGCGCGGGGGAGGACCTGTCTTCTAGCGATGCCGAGAACTTTGAAAGAGAAGCCGCCGGCGAGGGCTGTGGTGTGTCGTCTACTCCAACCCGAATGAATGGCTTGCCCGATATGCCATCGTCAACGACAGGAGGTCTGATAGGAATAGCTCGTGGGAGGTCCGCCGCGAGCTGAGTTTGAGACCAATCTGCAGGTCCAGTGGTCTCTTTCTCCACGATTGCCGACATGCGAGTCTGAGCCTTCGGCTCAGCAGCAGGTTTTTGGTCATTGAACGAGTGGGGCTGTGAGTGTGAAGCGGACAGCTCCACGGCGTCTGTGGTTCCTGTGGTTCCTGATGATCCTGGGCGAACCAGGGCTTCGTCTGACGTCTCGGGAATTGACCTCAGCCGCTGGAGGGTGGTTATAACGCTCTGGATGACGTTGTCTTGATCCAGGGCACAATCTTGTTTCCGGATGAGCGCACAGAACTCCTTCCTGAGTTCGGCAGAGGTGTCAATCAGGAGTTCGGCGCAGCATATGGCAATGCTGCTCTCCGGAAGCGTCCCTGGAGTCTTTATCTCCAATTCAGGGGCGACAGCCAGTCCTTCACGATCATGTATCTGCTTGTGCTTCGAGGCCAACTTCTGTATAATGTTGTCGAGCTTGTCTAGGTTCGCTTGGATGGGAGGAAGGCTCGAGCTGCAGTTCCTCCGTGCATGGTCATGCTCTCTCCTGTGGCGTGCAGAAGCAAAGCAAAGCCAAGCCCTCTCCAGATCATTATTGTCTCCTCGGGAGAAGGGTCGAAGTAATCCTTTAGACGATCTCGGATCGGCTGGTCCGCTAATCGTGGCCGTAGAGAGGGGGTCATCGATCGGGATGGGAGAGGAGTAGAAGAAATGGGCCTTGAGAGGTGGGATGCCGTCCAACCCAGGGTCAGCCTCGAGTTGGGAGACTGGGGCTAGACGGCATTCGCGGCCGTATGTATGCGCTGCTTCTGACGGCATGGTGGATGACGAGACGGTGGACTAGACATCAACACTATGTCGGTGGTTAGCCAAATAACTTGTCGACCAACGTCATGCACGGATTTTGGGAGTTCGACTGACCCTCAAAAACAGCACGTTCGTAAGCGGCTCCTACGAGCCAGTATCTGGCGGGAAATGAGTCGAGACATAGGATTGCAGAGAGAATGGTAGCTTCATGAAATTGTCTTGTAAAAGGCTGTCGTGGCCGGGACCTGAGGTTAGAAAGGTAACTTATTAAACATTCCAGGCCGCCTTTCGGTATGATGACGTGTATCCGCAGTTAGTTGTGGATCCCATGCCGAGGCCCATGCCATGCCCAGGCTCCAGGAACATGGGGCCTAGGCTGGATATACTGCGGAAAAGGCATTTGAGGCGCCAAGACTGTGTAGTTGCATAACTATAGCATACCTGGGGCTCACCAACTACTGGGGGAACTAACTACTGTGGTAAAGATATAGCAACATGCGGCCTGCTTAGATTGTCTCTCCCTCAAGCACGCTAACCCGGTCTTCCGGTACACGTTTGAGCCTCCAAAGCGACGCTAGATACCCGGAGACACGCAGAGGAGCCCTGACTTGTCTATGAGAGAGGACAGGGCCGGCCCTGCCCCTGGTATCCGTAGAGGTTCGGCGGTCGGCAGAAGCAAGGGATGGCGCAGCGATTGAAATTCAAGAAGATGATTCTTTGCGCGGATAGTCTGGCAGAAAGACCTGGGCGTTGTTGGAGTGTGTCAATTGTCAAACCTTGGGACCGATAGGATTCTCGTTTGTAATCAAGGCGGGCAGGCGGGGTAGGGATTAGTTAGTGCAAACCAAACAACCATCAGATCTGCGGGCCTAATGCAGTTGTCGAGGTGGGGGTTCGTGATTTTTTGGAGTTGATCCTCATGACAGCGACTCTTGATTCGACAGCCAGCCAGCGGCTGCAGCAGAGTTCTGCGAGTCCGGGTTACAAGAGACGCCGGCCCAAAGTGCAGCGTTCATGAAACCAATATTACTTTGGGGGCGATGTTGCTTTTTACCTTTCTGCTTGGCTCGGCCTGATAAGCGTGACAACAGGTACAGTCTGTGCTGGTCAATTTGACACGTCCTAGCTTGATATTGCCCAAGCATCTATCAAAGCTCCCACCGAAATAGCTACAGTTGTGTTCCTCTAATGCAGTCGCATCTAAGGTACGTCCCTCGTAGTCGATTGGCTGTCCTAATTACTGCCCCACTTTCCGGTCTGCCGTTGCCGCATGGCGCGAAGACGCTGCCTCCCCTTCTCCTCCAATGGTACCCCCAGCGTGTGGACTACAGAAGCAAAGATTACAGCCTATTCCTCAATCAGCGTCTACTGTTGCAGCGCCAACCCCTCCGGGATCCACCGCCCCTCCATCGTCGATTCCCCTCCCCCGCTCACTTCCCTGATGCAGCTTTGTCGCTACCGAGACAGTATCTCGATTGCCTCCCCGTGTCTTTGTCCTCGCCGACTCCGCTGCCGTGTCCGTCCCCGGCGTAAATAAAAATTTCACAACTCTATCCGTGCGGTCATTCAACTGGCCCGACGTCCTCTGTTCTCCGTACCCCGCAAGAAGAAACGCACAGCAATTGCCACCGCTTTTGGAGATGCTTGGCAACATCCCATTCTGAAGCAGGGGTGTGCGATAAGGTTGTGTGTACTTTCCTGGCCTACCAACAAACCGCCAGACCATCCTCCTGTCTCCTCGCCTCCAAACCTCCGAACCTTTGTCCTCTTTCTCCCATCCAATCCATCACTGCGTCTCGTCTGATCTTCCTCCTGTGGCCAATTCTCGCTCTAGCTGCTAGACTCGTGCCCATCTACATGGTCAACTTGCTCCCGTCCATTTCGCAGCCATCGCTGTCCCAGCTGTCCTCGTCATCGCCTCCTTGCCGCCTGTCTGCGCGATAAAGCACCCATCGGCAACCGCCCCGCGTAGTCCATCGCCAACTGACCACGGCCGAGAATACTGTGCTATGGCTACAATTGCTCTTCCCCGACCAATCGTCCCACATCGATCCGCCTCTGCCATCGGCTCCCTTACTTCTACCATAACTCTCGACACCATCAACACCCAGTCAGGCCAATGCCCTCCCCCTGTCCCGAATAAACATATTCCTGTTTGCCCACCAGGCCCAGTGCCGCACGCCGACCCCACGACACCACCCCCGACACCCGGAAATGGCGATGACGATGTTCCGCAGTCCCTGCTTTACCCGCCCTACAACTACCCTCGTCTCGATTCCGGACCATTTTCTCTCTACAAGATCGATGCTGGGGGTGTTGCTGGTGCCCTAGAGTACCTTTCGTGTCAACCTCTACCCGATCCGTCGCACGTGTTTCCCTGGTTCCATGGTCTGCACCCGAGCAACCACGTCCAGCAGGCTTTCTTCATTGCCAAGCGCCGCGCGCTGAGGAGAACCCCCTCTTGTCTTCGGGGTATCACTCTCGTCAAGGCGGACGGCGATCTGAATACATCCCGCCTGAAAGGGGCAATCGCCCCCGACGAGCTTTTGCAGTCCGGGTCCTCGGCCGAGTTCCTCGACATCGATCCCAGGGAGGGCTTCTCAGTGCGGAACTTCCAGATCCAGGCAGCAAAGAGTGCCATGACATCCGACGTCATTGTCTACGGCGATGACGACGACTTGGTTCGGAAGATTGGTTGGGATGTCACTGCTGCGCAGCAGAGATGGCGCGAGAAGCACGAAATCCAAGGCAACTCACTACCCCATTACAACACTTTTATCTGTATTGGCAAGTTTGAGGCCTTTGAGCAGCGGTTCCCAGAAATCGTCGCTGTCGACTCTGCCGGAAACTTGACCGGGAACGTGGTCGACTTTTTCCACCAGGAGAGGATGGAGATGTATGCCATGACGAAGGCGTCCGAAATATCGCACAACGTATGGATGGGCCCGACTCCCGATCCAGCGTCGGAGGACGAGCATCGTTATGACCTTTTGATAGAGTGCAGCGATCTAGGACGTCTGAACCCGTCCGCACTTCAGGCTGTCGCGGAACGGCCCGACCAAGTCGTAAAACAACCCTATTTTGACTTCCCCTCGTCGGGGAGTATACTCGCTCCGACCTGGTCCCATGCCGAGGCCGATGGCATTCTGGAAACCTGCAAATGGATTTACCACCTAGCTCACGGCACGTACCCGTCCGACTCCAACGTGGAAGAGACAGATGACGGAGGCGACACCACCATGTCTCCTGCTCCGGAAATTTGTCCAACCGGGTTGCGCCCCCGGAAGATACTTATCCACTGCGCTGATGGCTATACCGAGTCGACTATGCTCGGAATCGCATACTTTAGCTACAGCACTGGTCTTCCGATCCCGGACGCCTGGCTAAATCTGCACACGAAGAAGCATCGCAACTTCTTTGCCTACATCACAGACGTAGCTCTGCTGAGCGCCATCGCTCCCCGCCTCCTGCACGAGTCCCCAGTGTGTTCCGACAAGCCCTTCTCCGAGATTACAGATCTGGTCAAGAACGAGCCGAAGTGGTTCCCGGGCCTGGACGGATCGCTCCCTAGTAGGATCACGGACTACATGTACCTCGGAAACCTGACGCACGCAAACAACCCTAGCTTGCTGAAGGCATTAGGAATCAATCAAATCCTGAGCGTGGGCGAGACAGCCATGTGGCCGGATGGCGAGCTGGACGAGTGGGGTCCGGAGAACGTCTGCGTCGTCCAGGGCGTGCAAGACAACGGGATTGACCCTCTGACAGATCAATTCGAGCGATGTCTCGAATTTGTTGGTACGTTGCAGCTCCATGACGTGACGGTCCTGGGGTAAGAAGAGAAACACGATAGCTGATCAGTGCTTGCCCCCGATCTAGACCAAGGCCGTCGCAGAGGCACAGCGACACTCGTCCACTGCAGGGTCGGCGTCTCCCGCAGCGCCACCATATGCATAGCCGAGGTGATGCGGGCGAGGAACATGTCCTTCCCTCGGGCCTACTGCTTCGTGCGCGCCCGCAGACTCAACGTCATCATCCAGCCTCACCTGAGGTTCGCATACGAGCTGTTGAAGTGGGAAGAGCTCCTCCGGATGAAGAACGCCGGCGCCGAAGACGGATCTGACGATTGCGTCAAGAGAGAGCTCGAGTGGGCCGAGATTGCACGCGAGGTGGCCCTTATGAACCGGCCATATGCGCGGTGAATGGGTTGCCGCCCCCAGATTTTGATTGCTGTCGCTGCTGTGAGAGCCAAGCCTCTCGATTCCGGCGGCTGGATTTTCGAATGATAGCCATCCAACCCCCCCTTTTTTTTTTTTTTTTTTGGATATGAAAGAATATATTGGGTATATTGTCTCGCAGGGTTTATCTATTTATTCGTTTATTCTATGACGGTTGGATCGGACATCTACGGAAGTACATTTTGTCTGTTGCTTTGGGCGGTAACTGGCCAGCCAGCGAGCTTGGCCAGTAGTGGTGCGACGCGGTTATGGATGGGCCATAGCATGTCACTGCTGGAATGTTTTCTTACGGGTTTTTATGAAGAAACGATGGTCGACTCATCAGTATATGATTGTTTAAATTGCGGCCTTGAGTATTTGGGATCCTCCGAGGCGCAAGTGGGATTGGATGTTCGATGGGCTGGGGGGTAAGGAGGGAGGGACGGCGCAAAGTTATGTTTCCCTACCTCTGGATTGTGCACTTTGTTCTTGGACCAGGTCGTGATTGAAGGGGTAGTCCTGCCCAGGCATTGAATACCTTGCACATAAAGCTAGCCAAGACATACATTTAATGACAAGACGCTCGCTGACAACTGAACCCAGAAAGAGAGGGTATCGTGATAAGAACCCACAAGCTGCCTCCGAAAGACTCTGTTACAGCCTGTCGTCACTCCCACTTTCCACATATGACGTGAGGTTGGGATCCATCAACAAGGGGTTCGGCCCTCCTGACACTGATATAATTCGAAGTGTACGGAAGAAAAGGGGCTCGATGCGAGATCCCGAAAACAAAATAACAACCACGGAGGTAATCATCCTGTTAACCATAATAGGTCGACAGCCGGGGGGCATACGAACCTGAGCCTGCGTCCCATTAAAGCAAGAAACAATGCCAATCAAGATTGACCTTAGGATATGACACAGCTGCTGTCTCTTGCCGCCATTAAAAACAAATCCTGAAAAAACGCTCAAGCCCCGTACGCCGAGGTGTCTAGTTTGTCATCGCCGTCGAGGACCCTACATCATTTAGTCAGATCAACTCGGTAAATCGACATCAAGAGAGACCGGGAGTGGGTGGTTTAACTCACGAGAACTGCTTCACCAGGTATCCCTCCCCTCCGTGTTCCATGTCTATGTTGAAGACGTAGAAGCCACCATCGCTAGTGACAACCATAACCTGGGGGGAGCTACTGCTCATGGCGACGACGCTCCTCAATGGCCCGCCCGCGCCGCCCCGGGGCAGGCCGACGTTGGACGCCTTGGGAATCTTTATGTACGCAAAGTCGCGCAGTGGCTCCCACATCTCGGTCACGGTGTTTGGGAGGTACGAGCCCACGACCCCAGCCACGCTGCGGCCCATAATCTGCGACGAGCGCCGGAGCATGCTGCTGAAGGAGCCGCTCTGGCGACGGTGCGCGGTTGGGCTCGATCCATTGTATCCCCCCCCTAAGTTCGGAAGTGCAGGGGCTGCTGGGCTACCGACGTAGTCGGCTGCTTCGCTGCGGGGCGACTCGGCGGTGCTGCTTGGCGAATTGTCGGCGCTATCCTGGCTGCGGGAGCGCGACCAGCGGTCTCTGCGGGGCGAGGTGGGAGTCTCGGATCCAGTAGATATGTTACCACTATGTGGCGCCACTCCGAGCCGAAATATGTGGACAGTCTCGGAGGTCGACGAGACACAGAGGAGGGTGGAACTGAGATTGAAAGACATGCTGTAGATTGTTGATGGGTAGGTTCCACGCCGGAATTGGTAGAGCTTTTGTCCGCGAGGTACGCTGAAGACGCGGATAATGGTGCCAGTCTCGGATGCCGTGGCGAGCAAGGTCCCTTCGCTGTTCAGCGCAATGCAACACAGTGGTGAACGGTGGGCTTCGATGACATTGACAGCTTTGAGAGTGAGCGTATCGAAGATGAGAACCTCCCCCGACGTTGGAGGCACGTAGGTAGACAGCGGGGGAGCGTGGGCGGGCCGCCTATCGCCTGAGTCGTCGCGCGGCTTGGGCAGTGGGTATGCAATGTAGCAGTTCTCTGACGACGGCGAGAGGGAGCAGATCGCACTCGGGTTGGGCGAGGTGGCGATGGTGTATAGTAAGCTCATGTTAGAGATGTCGTAGAGGTAGATCTCCTCTTCCAACACAACGGCTAAGCGCTTGCGGTTCAGCCGGACGGCCAGGACGGCGGAGGGGAATGTGAGCTCGCATATTACAGACGCTCGCTGTCGGGCGGGAATAAATTAGCACATGCCAACATAACAAAGAAACCTGTCACGCCGGCATACCTTTGTGTTCTGTATAATGAGATGCCTCGGCGAGAGTATTAGGGCAACCAGGGAAGTCGAGAAGAGCATCTCGATAATCGAGACACTGCCATCGTCACTGCTGAATATCTTGGAGAAAGGGTCGGTGTGGTAGATTCGAAAGCCCTTGGATGTGCCTTGGGAGGTTCTGGTTAGCTGGCTAGGAAGGAAGCTACCTGCCTTGCTCGGAGGAGGGGCGGCTTACCAACAGCCAGACAGCTGTGATCCTGGTTGAACGTGATGAAGTTCAGAGTCCCGCCGGACGACATGTTGCTAACTGGCTGCCCGGAGGCGACAGGCGGGAGCAGATAGGCAGTATCTCCTATGCTCGAGTTGATGACGAGCCGAACTAGCTCTGCTGCCACCGTAGAGACTAGTGTCGGGAAACTCGCGATTCGGTGCCGGCGGCGGAGACTCCTTCAGCTTGGGTCCGTTTATCCTAGCACGACTTGTCCTTCCATGCCGATCCAATGTTCTGATAAATCATTCGAGGCCAGTCAGGTGCAGGCTACTGGGGTGGCACATGGAGCTCTTACTTTAAAGGTCCGCTTTCCAGGCAGACCTATGACCTGGTGATGGCGTGGGGTAGAAAGCTAGGGTGGGGACCAGGTGAAGCTCGGACCATCGGTTCAGGAGCTTCCTGGGTTAGGTAATCAATGTGAGCCAGGTTGGTCCTCATAGACCACTTCTATCGTTAAAGCTCAAAGCAGGGCTGCGTAAAGAAGTAATAATGCTAAATGCTACAGACATCTAGAAGGTCCGGGAGTGGGTATGAATCTTGGATTAAGTTTCATGCAATTCTTCAGTAAAATTATATTCTCTCTCAGCGTTGAGTTGTCGCACAGACTCAACCGCCGTTTTCCAAAGCTCACATATGCTGGGCCCCCTGAGAACGGTTCGAGCTTCTCCTCCCATTCGAATCATCACCTCCAAGACTCAAATGAGTACCTTGCCAGCCCACGGGGTATCCTTTCATATTACCATGATGTTGCTGAATGTCTCTGATATCTCTCTAGGCGTGGGCGCCACGTACTCCTCTGGCATGGTCGACATTCCAGCCGAGATCCTCTCCACCATGAGCTTCAGGATAACTGGTGGTACGGCCTCATCTGTGGCCCTGACCGTTAAGCGTACCATCTACACCGTCTGTTAGCATCTATATTACGGCGGCACTGTCATCTATGCTTACCTGGTTGCCGTAGTTTGGCTCCAGTCTCAACAAGCACCCGAATTTGCCTCCTTCAGCCGTGTGCACAACGCTCGCACCAACAAAGTTCTTTTTGTTCGGATCAACTCTATCCAGAAGGCCCCATCGAAAGCCTTCTAGGACTCCCCGCACGAAGTCCTCGTTAATTTCACGGGTGCCGTCTTTCGAGCCACTGAGTCCGAAGATTTGTTGTGCCTCGCGGGGTGCTGCCCCGATCTGCTTCCATCGCTTGAAGAAATCATCAGCAGACAGATCCGCGGGGTCCATAAACTTGTGGACCGCGATCGGGAGTTTCAGCGTCACTGCTTGCAGCGCCCCAGCGAGATAGCTGATTCTCATCGTTGGGCTGTTGGCAAAGACTTTCTTCGCCTCAAACATGATGACCTGCTGAGCCTGTGACCCCTGCGTGATGGTGGTGTCCGGCAGCCCCTTGACGTCCCAGGTTAGACTCGTCTTATCGCTCTCGTCGAGATCCAGAGTTGTCGTGAAAGAGCTCATAATCGTGGGCGTCTTGTTGGTGAAGTACAGGATCAGACACGCCATCTGGCCCCGATACTCAGACCTGACTCCAACCTGTATCTGCCCATCTTCGAAGAGCACCCCTTCAGCCTTTAGTAAGAGTCTGCGGAACCCCTTCTCCCACCCAGGCGAAAGGTGGGCGGCGCTTGCGAGGTTCGGCACCTTGGTGCTCTTTGGCTCCGCAGGGCCAAGGTTGGTCATATCGAGACCGGCAAGGTCGGTGGCTGCAGAATGGCCATTGGCCCCGCTGGTCGGCCCGCCATCCGCATGCCCATTGCCATGGACCTGGTCGTTCGCACTGAACGTCCGCTTCAACCCGGGGTTCTTAGCCATGCTGAGCTCGGCAACGTCCGTGTTTGCGTGCTTTCCGCCAACCACCCAGGTGCGCTTATCGCTAGTATTCGCGTGTTTCTGGTGCAACCTGGACAGCAAGGCGGATTGGCGCTCTGGGAACGGAGGCATCTCATCGCACACCGTCCGGAGTAGGTCGTCCGTCGGCAGGTTGGCCAGAATAAGATACTCGCATGCACGTTGTTGAAGTTCTGAATCGAGGGTATGGCTGTAGACGTCAAACACGCGGATGAGTTGCGGCTTGATTTCAGGGAAGAGATTGACGAATTTGATGAATGAAGAGAGGATCATAGCCCTTGTGCTCGACGAACAGGCGGGAAGCTTGCCCTGCAGGGCGAGGAACTGCTCGATTGGACTGCAGCCCTTCTCTTCGGCGATGAGATGGCCAAACTCCCCAAGGATATAGGCTCCGATCTTGACCAGGGTCTCGTGGACGTGATCCTGCTTCACATACTGCAGTGTGTTCCGCGCCGCGTACACCTGAAGCTCTTCGTTGTTTGTCACAATCTGTGTCACCCGCTGCCAGACTTCGTCGCTAACATGATCCCCTGCCATGGCTATGAGGCGCAGGGATATGTCGACATACCACTGCACGTCGGTGGCGTATTTCTCAGTCAAGATTGCAATCTTCAGGACCATCTCCTCCCGAATGGCAAAATCGGCGTTCTGGAGATAATGGAGCAGCTCTCCCACGATAACCTGGGCATTTGTTGAGTCGCACATGCTGTAGAGCAAGTCGAGGCCTTTGCGACGGACACTGATGTCCCGATCTCTGAGAGATCCAATGATGACATCCTGGTGCTGCTTTATAGGATCCAACGTATCCGCTCGGGCAGCTAGATGGGTCATGGCTTCCAAACCCAAGTACCGGACATTGGTCTCCCTGGATTGGATGAACTTGCCAAGCCTTGAAGATATCTGTTTCATCAAGGCGTGTTCTGTATCAAGGTGTATGATTAGGTTTATGGCCTCGAAGAGGACCGCGTTCTGGGCATTATTCTGCTGTACGTTCTTGTTCGTCTCCAATGCCAAGTTGAGGATCTTCTGGAGGGATTCTCTGATCATCTCCCGGACATGACTGTCATCTGTGATATATGTGAGGGGCTGGATGCCTATATAAGCAACTATACGGGACATACCTGACGGTGGGAAGTATTGGAGTAACCGCAGGAGCTTGACCTGTATCCAAGGGCAGGGAACCTTGTAATAAAGGTAATCCGAATTAAAATCGCCGTCGATAAGAATCCGCTTCAGCTTCGCTGCAGCCTTGACATAGGCGCCCTTGTACTGGTCAAGGTTGTCTTGCGCCAGAGCCATGACGAGGGACGTAACAGAGAGCGCTACGCCCAAGTCCACGTCGTCGATCAGGGAAATGATTCTTTCGGCCCATTGCGGTTGCACAATATCCGGATGCTTCCGATATAACCGCAAGAGGGTGAGTGCAGCCTTCTTCTTGACAAATGCCTTCGACGTCCTGGCAATCGATTAGCTCGTCTAGGAACGTAAGAGGCCCGCCTGGCTTGATGATTTGAACATACGGGGCAATGAGGAGCCTGTGAACCTCTCCGCTCAGGGCCTCGCCCATTTCGCGACCGCCAACATTTGCAATGGCGTGCAAGGCAAGGCAATTAAAGAGTTCGTTATGGTCCAGAAGGTCCTTCCGTATACTGTTGACGACTAGATGTAGAAGTTCGTGCTTTTCGTGCAGGAACAGTGTCATGGCGAGGTACCCGATCTGTTTCTCTGAGTACTTGTTCGCAGAGATGAGGTTGACGGCCTCGAGATGGCCGAAATCAACGTTCCATCCCAGGATATATATGTAAAGGAGCTGTTGAGACAGTCAGCCAGGGGTAGGTTCGGGGGGCGGGGGAGCTCGTCCGATTCGTACTTTGCAGACGTATTTCTTCTTGTGATAGCCACTGAGGCTCCCATCTACCACCGAGTCAGCATCGAAAGATTCGAAGGATGATAACCGTCGGCTAACCCTTGAATTTTTGGCTGTGAGAGAAGAGAGGTTAGCAAGCCGGGCCTGAATCGAACGAGGCTCGGCGGACTTACCGAATATTGGCCAGTTCCTTGTTGATACGCTTCTCTTCCAGTTCCCGAGCCCTCGCATTTCTCAGGTCAGCAATGAACTGTACAAGGCCACGCATGTTCGAGTTGCTGCTAGTGGAGCGGCCGAGGAAGCCGGAGGTAGTAGAGGACGCCATGTTGGGTAATGGGAGATGGGGGTATATCAATTTCGGTTTCGGTGTCGGTGTCGGTGTTGAGTCGGCGTAGTTTTAGACGAGGCGGCCCGGCCGTGAACTGAAGCTTCAATCAATCGAGCGATAGACCTCTCGGACCATTCAGATACGGCCCTCATAGCGAACACCAATGCATGACCTTTTGCTCAAACCAAGACGGTGAGAGAGACGGAGACGGTTTAAGATGTGGAAGCAGGCTCGAGAGTGTGAGGTGTGACAGCTTTCGTGCAGAGTGTGGGTCGATGGGTCGCCGGAAGAGAAGAACTGATCGTAGCGGATGGTCGAAGGTCGTGATCGGGGGAAGTGGAGCTCTCTGCTTGCGGTGAGTATAGACCGCCGCTCCGCAGCGGGGCTCAAGGGGGGGCAGATATTTGTGGCTAGTGCTTGTGGCTTTGCGTGACGTTTCCCAGATAAACTCGATTGCTCAAACGGCTTCTCACCGTAATAATCGCATTACTAGACCAGAATGCGATACCATCGTGCGGGAGGAGGATGAGGCTCGTCTTACCAAGAGTCTCCGCATGGTCCGCTCTGCGAGCCAGGCAGCCTCCGCGGCGCTGCTACGCATTCCAAGCTGCAGGGGCCCCAGTCTTCGACGTCTTCAATCGACGGACAAAATGGCTACAGAGGGAGAGGGCCGCTGTCGACGTTGAAAGCAGCCGACAGGCTGACTATCTCAAGGATGAGGTGGCTCTCCGGCTTTGCGAGCGGCTTCTGGTACGCCTACCCACGTCTCCCCCCTGCACACGAGACCTTGCCTAACATTCCCTCCCCTAGGATATCAAGCGCCACTTTCCCAGAGTCTTGGACGTAGGCGCAAACTCGTGCAACATCGCCAGGGCGCTGACTCGAGAGAACCCCGACCCAGACCCGGCGATGCCAATCTCGCCGTCGCTGTCCAGCCGCATCTCCGAACTGGTAGCTGCCGATTCGTCCCAAGCCCTGCTCTTTCGAGACGTCGACTTGCCGTTTAACCAGGACATTGCCTTAACCCGCCATGTCTTGGTTGATCAAGAGAGTCTCCCTTTCGAGGCTGGTTCCTTCGACATGGCCATGAGCAATCTCAGCCTGCACTGGGTCAACGACCTCCCAGGCGTTTTGAAGCAGATAAACAACCTTCTCAAGCCCGACTGCCCCTTCATTGGCGCCATGCTCGGCGGAGACACCTTGTTCGAGCTGCGGACTTCACTGCAGCTTGCTGAGCAAGAGCGAAAGGGAGGGATCTCTCCCCATGTGTCGCCGCTGGCCGATGTTCGGGACGTTGGAGGTCTTCTCCAGAGGGCAGGCTTCAAGATGCTGACGGTCGACGTGGACGACATCATCGTCGATTACCCAGACACCTTTGCGCTGATGCGGGACCTGCAAGCCATGGGCGAAAGCAATGCTGTCCTGGGGCGCGAGATGGGCGCCATCGGCCGGGACGTCCTCCTCGCAAACGAGGCGATATACAAGGAGCTGCATGGGAATGAGGACGGCAGTATTCCGGCCACCTTCAGAATCATCTATATGATCGGCTGGCACGAATCGGCCAACCAGGCTCAGCCATTGACGCGAGGAAGTGGAGAGGTCAACTTGAAGGACATCCTGGAGAGTAAATAGGCGCTCTGCTCGCCGAGTTGGATCATCTTTGGCAAATGCCTATCGTGGAGGCGATGAATGAAATGTACATTATTTCTCGACACCCGCCCGATCGGGAGGTTCAGATAGATGATAGACATGTATGATGGAGGTTTACCAACGACAGATGCTTAGAATCGTCGGCTTGTATTGCTCGTATAGGTCATTGCCATGGGCTTTTTATTCACACCCTGAGTGTCACCGCCTGGGGAAGAAGCGTCACGAGCTACCGGCAACCCAAACGACGCCCCTCGTCTATGAATATCCCGCGCATTCATACCATGGTGTTCCTCCGGCCAACCCTGCTCGCCCTCCTTGGTTCATACTCGCCTCCAATCCGTCATTGTCCGGCCTATGCAGCCCAACCCTGCGACCTCAACCACCTTCTCGTGCCAACTCAGCAAGACGCTCATCGCCGTACCGGTGGACTCGCTCGCGCCCCCTGGCCGCCCTCCTGCTTGGCTGAAGCCGGTCTGCTGCGGGGTAACCCGGGTAGGTGTCCGCGGAGTGCTCCCGGAGGAGGATGTAGATGCCATGCCCTTGTACCTGCGGGATTGGTTTGGTAAGCCTTACGCTACCCTCTGGCGGAAAGAGGCGGAGAGGGTGTGGGGGGGTTGTGCTCGCTCACAAGTATTTCATCAGGACGTCCAAGCATTCGCTTCCGCCGGGGGAGCTGTAGATTCTCTGTAGCATGGGCGTCATGTCACTCGCTTTAATCGACTGGAGGACCTCGATGACGGTCTGGAGGTGGGCTTCCTGGGGTGGTGTCTCTCAAGTCAGCCCCAAAACACACAAGCCAAGTGTCAGGCGCAGCTCTGATCCAACCAACCTTTGCGAGATCGGGCCCGTTGTAGACGGGGAACTCCAAGGCGCCGCGCAAGGCGCCCTCGGTGTCGCCGCCTCTCAATAGCTGCCGGACCTGGCCGGCCAGCTGCCGGACCTCGGAGTCGCTGACTTCGGGCTGCGGGGGGTGGAGGGTCGAGGTGTCGAAGTTGACGCTCGAGTCCTCCTGGAGGGCGTCGATGTTGATGGTGCGCCACGCATCGCTGAGCGAAGAGGACGTGTGTTGTTGGATGATGGACATCTCGGCGACGTTTTGATTTCGCTTCCGAACCTGCTCCGATAGGGCAATTAGGTGTCGCTGTCGACGCTGTTGAGCTTGATGGAATCTCCTTGTAGTCGTTGCGTACGTCACAGTGTTCAACGGTTTAGGCAGGAAGGTATTTATGGTGGGGAGCGATGGGGCGGGAGGGGCTGCACTTTTGGGCCATTTTGAGGCTTAGCTAGCACGGCTAGGTACTGTACCTAGCTTGACATAGAAGGATATCCCCTCATAGGGTTGTCTAGGAACAAAGTGATCAGGTTTCATACACGGAACAGCTGAGTGTAGTATGAAATCTTCTCTAGTTTCTTCTGTTCGACACCTTCCATGTCCAAGTAGATGACGTGCTGATTATTGGGAAAAGCCCCTATCCTATCTTTCCTTCACGATCATCATGGCGATTGCGGTTAGACACATCCAGCCCTCGCCATGCCTTGACCCTCGAGATGATGATCCATCTGACATCTGTCTGGTAGGCCATTGGGCAGCTCTGCTCGACTGCCTCAATGGCACACAATCTGGAGCAGTGCGTTCGACTGATAAGTAAAGCGGCCACCGCGGGGGCAAAGGTATGGTCATGCTTCGAAGATATATCTACCTGTCTCTACGCAATGCATCCTGCCCCAGGAGCCTGGAGTCATCCTAGCTGCCTAGTGGCAGACATCCCATTCTAGAATCTCCGGGGGCAGGCTTATCGCTAGCTAGGATGACCTCTCCTTGCTCAAGACCGCCGCGCCGCTTACCTTTGGCCTTGTCTCGCTCACCCCACATACGCGTATAGGTTCTCTTCCTCCCGGAGGCATCCGACTACATTGCCGGCTCCTTCCAAGAGTCACTTTCCCTGGCTAAGCCCGTGTCAGAGTCTCCGTTCGTTCTTGGGTTGCAGTCAGCAGCTAAAGAACACCACCTGGCCGTCAACGTCGGCATACACGTTCCTGTCCCAGTCCGACCGTCCGGGCCGGCAGCCAACGCCGTTGTCCCCACGGTCCCGCAGGAGGCAACCGGTGCTTCCGGTATCACCTCCCCGGCCACGCCTACCTGGGAGCTGGGACAAGAGCAAGAGCCAGCCCAGACGAAGCTTTTCAACCGCACCATCTGGATCAACCCCGACGGCAGCCTCCTCCCGCACGGGAGCTACGACAAGCTACACCTCTTCGACTACGGCGACCTGCGCGAGTCGGCGCACACGCAGGCCGGGTCGGCCCTGACGCCGCCCTTCGACACGCCCGTCGGCCGCGTCGGCAGCCTGATCTGCTTCGACCTGCGCTTCCCGGAGCCGTCGCTGCGCCTGGGCCACCCGCCGGCGGCGCTGGCCGCACGGGGGTTCCGCCCCGCCCACGTCATCGCCTACCCCTCGGCCTTCACCGTCCCCACCGGCCGCGCCCACTGGGAGGTCCTGCTGCGGGCCAGGGCCGTCGAGAGCCAGGCCTGGGTAGTCGCTGCCGCGCAGGTGGGGCCCCATGATGGCACGGGGAGGACGAGCTACGGGCACAGCATGGCGATCGACCCCTGGGGGCGGGTAGTCTGTCGGCTCGGGGGCGTGGCCGAGGACGGCACGGTGGAGGAGGGGGCTGTTGGGGCCTTGGGTATGGTGGACATTGACTTGGACGAGTGGGAGAGGGTGAGACGGCAGATGCCGTTGGCTAGGAGGACGTGAGTGTTTCGTTCATTTCTTACTTCTCTTCCTCCCTTTTTCCTCTTCTTTTCTTTCCTTTTCTTTCCCCTTTGGACCTATTGTTACTTATTCGCCGAATTGCGCACGGTTGAACGAGATCGAGTCTAAGTCGCCGCACAAGGCCTCGTTGGCTGGCTGTCGGGGACTCGGAGAGCAAAAAGCAAACACCATGTGGAGTACTAATTCAGCCAACGGCAGGGACGTCTATCCTGAAATATGAGCAGTCAATAGAACCAACATTGCTTGTCAGGCAAGCGAGACGAGGCCGATGATCCGTTTGTCCTCGACCCGGGCCGAACAAAATCTGGCCGCCATTTCCCCAACTTCCCAGTCTTCTCGGTATTTACACTTGGTTTAGCTCAGGTGACAGATCCCTGTGTTTTCTGCGAGTTTGGTCTCCATACGGGTAACTCCCGCTGATTGTTAGTCGGTGCCATAGTGGAGTCAGGAGATTGAAACCATCTCCAATGGCCGATCGACTGGGACCACTGGTGGCGCTGACTAGCAGGATGGCTAGTGTTCTTGTTGGGTTACGTGACGATGAATCGGGTCGGAAGCGGAACCGCGGCTACACTAGGTAGTTTGCAGCCACTTTTTAGTGGTGTGTCTTGATGAGACGTGATGGCAAAGTGTCAGGTAGGCTGCTACGCAGTAGACGAAATTTGTACTGTACATACATATTTCCCAACACCCTGATAACCCCACTCTCAATCTTCTGACATGGCACACACAAGTAATACATCACATTGCTAGTCGTGCATCGCCGGGAACATTGCATTGCTTTTTTTTTTTTTTTTGGGGGGGGGGGGGGGCGGAACCCCCACACGGGCATGCGCGCGGCCAACAGGATCACGGGGATGTACTTCGCATGTTGATCTGTAGGTACCTTCCTTGGGGGCAGCCTGGAACCCACTTCAGCGGGTTGGATACGATGTTGTGTAGGGGTCGGATGGGCTTTATAGCACTTACGAGGGATTGTCAGCCAATAGGCTTCAATCCAGCTGAGTTATTTTGTTGAGAAAGAAGAAATACAGCACTTGCCATGGGGAGGGATACTACTGCATTCCCGGAGCAGTGACTGATGCGGCCCAGTGCTATGGTACTGGGTGTTGCTGGAGGCCCTGCATCTCCTTTAAACGTGCATTAGTGCCATTTCCCTCGGTTTTGGTGGTGGCTTCGCCTCGCCCATTCTTTGGGACTCGCCTGACAATAACATGCATGCCCGAGGCGAGAGGATGGAACTAAACGAGAGACAATTACGCCGACTTGGCACACCACGATGACGCAACCATCTGTTGTCTGTTGTCGAAGAAGCTTCCGTCTACATGTCTAGACCATACTTGCAAACGCAAATAAACACAGTACGCGTGACTGTCTGCATACATAAATTAAAGGTTGGGGAAGGAAAGGGGAGGACAAACACTCACAATGATTGCAGAGAGAAAAAATGTCGAAATGCTTTCTCGATTCAGACAAACTCAGTGCTGTGTAGCTATTCTAATTCTTCGTGCAGTTACCTATACATACAAGTCTAAACCTGTGGGGGTATCGTCTATCAACCTGGATCCAGCCCAGCACCCGGCCAGCATGGCAAGTTCCCGGGCATCGCTGTCCCCGTATTCCACCCAAGCTATTGTGTACATTATTGAAACAGAAAATGGAGGCCGACAAGGCGACGTATTTCCATCCCGTCACCTCCGCGAGGAGAGAAAACGGGACGGGGGAGAAAACAAAAGTGAAAGTGACGAAAAACGTAAAAAGGGGCCAAGTCTATATGCGGAACCAAAAATCAAAACCCTTTTTCCCAACCTCATCCCAATATTTTTTTTTCAGATCCGAACCGGCTCCCGGGAAACATAATTGAAATCCAGAGACAAGTGCACGCCACCTTTATGTTGCCTTTATCCAAAAGAAACCGTGTCCATGCCCAAAGTAGCAAAGTGGTAAGTGTTGCGGGGAGAGGCGGGTGATGCACATCGGAGAGATCTCGCAGGTTGCCGCATGTTGCCGCATGTGTCGATGTCTTGTAGAGGGCGATCGTCACGGCCTCGGCGAATTAGGCGGAGCTGGTGGCCTGCGAGGAATGGGTGCCACAGATGGTGGTGGGCACAAACAGGGAGCGAAAATGACAGGTGACAGAAAATCGAGTCGCCCAAAATGTTGCCGAAAAACCAACCCCATCTATGTTCAAACGCCATGTATCGACCAGAAGGAGATGAAATCCAAAACAATAGCGCCCAAAACGAGTCCCCCCCGTGTATTCCAGCGATTTGCTTATAGGACGCAAGTGGCGGCGAGCCAAGATATGTATCGTCTTTCGGAATGCGCATTAAATGGTGTATCGGGACGTAGAATGATTAAGAGAAGTCGGCCATAGGCCTAGAAGAACTCCGGAACCGCTGCAAGAATCCGTAATTGGTACAGGCGAAAACGCGACAATTAAAAGGTCTAAGTCGGGAAAGACGGGCGCGGGTGGTGCGGGAGCGGGAAGCTTGTTCCCACTTCGACGGTCGAACTGGTACGGCCCGCGCAGTCGGATGGTGAGACTCATGTTGCGCCAGTGGCCGAATGTAGAAGTAACTGTAGCTGGATATCGGCCTGGTTATCGGCGTTTGGGTTTCGGTGGAGGTTTGGGGACACCAGTCGTGTCGTAGGCACCCCGACCCATGTTCAAGAGAGCTTGTGATTCTCTGACAATCATTTTGGTTGTGAGGCGTGAAATGGCGGCGGAAGACTTGGGAATATCGAGTTAGCCTATAATGCCAGCCGAGACGGGGAAAAAGAAACAGATATATCTTTTGGACCATCGGGGAGGAAAAGGAAGATGACGAGCACGAAACATGTGCTGAGACAGCTGTGACTCACAGTTTTGGGGGCCTCTAAGATCGCGGCGCGAGAAGATAGGCGAGTAAGACGGAGGGGCCGGATGGGCGGGAGGGCTGAGGCGAGGTTGTACGGGGTTCTGTATCTCGCAGCAGTTGACAGCGTCGCCAGTAAGATGTCGGACTTGACGCGGTAGGGTAAAATGCAGGGGCGAAGGCGGCACCAAATGCGAATGAGATGGCTTGCTGGAGCTTTTTATGGCCAATCTCGGCGACAACGCGTGATGATAGGAGGCGCAGTTGCAACGAGGTCTGCTCTGGGAGTGTTTTGCCTTGTTTTAGCGACCAAGTCGTAGGTCTCGATATCTTGCGATCCTTGCTGAAGCTGGATTGCCTTGTACCGAGCTTGCTGGCCAGGTACGCTGCGGGTGATATGCTGCTGCTGCCGTTACGTACAGGGCGTTTTGCGGCGTCGAGTTTCAGGAGGGAGTAGGTAACACGTAAGCAGTCGACAGTAGCAGAACCGAAAGTTGTAAGGTGGTAGGAGGACGACACCGGTGGTAAAAGAGGGTATCTAGTGTACAGAGAGCTTGGGAGCATTAGATGATAACCAGGGGAAAAAATTGGCGTGAGAAGGGGGATCGATGGTGTCTTATAATAAAACTTGAGGACAGGGAAGGTGTATAGCCCTTTTTTTCCCCTTTGGTCTCTTCTTTTTTTTTTTTTTTGGTAATTTACCCCCTTGCTTGCTGCCGTCAGTAGCATGCCAGGTTCCATGCTGAGGCAGGTACAGGGTGCACTCCCAAAGAAGGCAGCGGAGACCTTGGTAGGCTGTAATTGGCATTGCTCTCCTTTTTCGGTACCTCGTGCTAGGATGTGTGACCCATCCAAGCCCGACTTCCCACAAGTACAAGGGTACCCCGGTCCGAGAGTCCTTGCAAGGAAGATCTACAACCTGCTTGTCGCACTCCTTCCAAATATTTTCTTTTCAAGGAATATCGCCCACAAAGTGCCACCTAGATATAATAGATGAAAGAATATATTTCCGATACTGTCATAGAAGTGTAGTCATGGAGAGGGCCAAAAGCTTCAGAAGCCGAGCCTTGAGGGACGTCATCACGTTTGTGAAGGATTAGGCGGAATATCCTTGTATCGGAGGTTGAGCGCTAATTGACTTTCAAACGCGTCGTCCTAGGTCAGTTAATGAGGTACGTACTCCGTATTGAGGTGTGGGTTACGAGTACCCGACACCCACACCCCTGCTGCTTCATCCCATGTCCCTCTTCCATCAAGTTGGCAACGGTTTGATTGACCTTAATCTGGAAGCAGCCTGAAAGCGCCCCATTCCGATGGGTCCTTCATCCTTCACGTTTCTCTTTTCTTGCAGTAGGTCCTCGCCATGGTCAGTCATGTTTGTCTTCTTTCACTCCCATAGTGGCAAGACGCGGTCCACTCCGCTGGACTTCGAGCGCGTTCCGGACCGGCTGATGATGATTAGGCTGCGGGAGCGTATCCCAAAGCGGCGTAGTCGGAATTATTAATGAGCTTTTCTCCAAGCTTTCCTGGCCGTCAAGAGAGTTCGGACCGCAGTTGAAAGGCGGGGCGGCATGTTGAGAATTCGGAACAGGCCGCCCTACGTACATACAAGAATGACTACCTCCGTAGTACTACCCTTTCAAGCACGTATTCATCGCTTGGAATCCATCCGACCTTTCCCACGCTCGATAGAAGCCGACAGTCCACCCTGATTTAGACTTTGAGGCGTGAGATTTGGGGGGGCACGACTGACACGAGCCAAACTGCGGGTGATAGTTCATACCCACAGTCTAGGTTCTTATCCTTGTCCAGCCGCAGTATGGGATATTGTGTAACTACCTACAAAAGGTTGTTGGGGGTGGAAACGGGATCACTTAGATCTTTGTTACTCTCCCGGCAAGTTGACAAACAGTAATCTTAGTCATTGCTTCTTCTCCCCTTCTTACACCCGGCTTCTCAAGCTCCCGTCCTTGTCCGCCTTTCTTTTTTGTCGCTGTTTTTCTTTTCCTTCCCATATTTTAGTTGTTTCTCGGTCTTGACTTCCAAGTTCTCGGCGCACCCTTTCGGTGTGGGCTGCAGCAGTTTGGGTAGACGCACAAAAAGAAAAAGGGAGAGAGGATGAGAAATTGGGAAAATGGTAAGAGGATATAAAAAAAGCCACCAAGTAATACTTTTAAGAGAGCCAAGAGAACCCTAGCAAGGCAGGGTACTTGTCACTTGCAGTAAGCAGAGTTCAGATTTCTGTCCAACAAACTTAGCGTAGAAAGCATTCGCGATGTCCTTCCGGCAGCATCTTGGAGGATACGTGCAACCCAACGCATTGGCGTCGTGCGACGGCCACTCAGCTTCGGTATTCTCTATTCTTAGCCCACCCCCCATCGCTCGGTGTGTTGGTCCACGTTTCCTTGCATTTTGCGTGCGTCGGCGGCATCGAGACCTGAATTACCAGAACGGAAGCGTGTCACCGTGGCAGTGGCAGTCCCAGCTGGACGGGCCCACCGAGCTGTGCAGTTAAGTGAGCGACAGCCATACGATCTACCTCTTGACAAGACTAACTGCCAATTCATGGTGAGCAACGAGCCCGGTCGCTCGGATTGGGCAGCAAGGGAGAGAATAACTTGCGCGGAATGGCGATACCTGACTGGAGATATGCCGCCGTCGTCTTTACCGCTCCTGTAGCCTAGAAACCATGACGCGGGACAGCGCATCTGTCGGCCATTACTTGCCACAGTTGGCGAGCCGCCCCCCCTCCCCCGCCCCCGATAACATCCCGACTGGCTGCTTCGCAATTTGTATGACAGGTCGTGCAATGACTCAATAGTCTCCTTTCAAGTTGCAACAGTCAGATTCCGTACTATCAGTGAGCCTGCGCCGTGTCCGACAATGGAGCCAACCTGGAAATGCAAAGCTGGACCTTGCATGTACTGCCGTTTCTTCCCCCTGGGCCAGTCCGATGCGTATCCCGAACATCGATAAGTCCGACCTTTGCCACCATTCAACCGTGTACTGCAAATGGCCGTTTCATTTGACGGAAGCAATCAATGGGCTGAGGGCCCAACAAGAGACGATCACGATGAGACATACATACTTTCAGCCAAGCCAGAACCGGCCCCAACCCTCCAGGCTTTTATTCCCTTTGTCATCAGACTGGTCAGGGCTGTGGCTCTCTTCCGCTAGGTATAATTAGGACTGCATCTCGGTCCGCTCCGAGCGGCGGCGGCGGTGTAACAGGAGTTATCAACGGATCCTCGACGGATCCTGTTACAAACGGCCGTAGGAGTTCGAGGATGGCGAGAACGCCGGAATAAACTCACCATAGAAACATAGAAGCTGAAGTCCACTCTTCATTCGTCTTTGTTAGTCTATTTACGAACGGGAACTGCAACCCTTGTCCGAAGTAGCATGGGCAAGGCTGGATCTAGTGTAGATAGGAATAGCTAGGTAGCTGATGCTGACCCGAGGAGAGAAGGGGATTGGGATTTCTAACTCATCAACAATGACGAAGTCCCTGGCACAAATATCTATGTCAAGCTTATGGCGACTAGCAAATATCTAATAATGGCGGAGGCTGATGGCTGACTTCAGCTCACTTATTAAGGCTTCTTTCTGGAAGGGTTCCGTGGAGCTTGTGCTGCATTGGGATTTTGGAAACTTTCTAGAAGCTCTACCCTGGGTTCCCCGGCTCTCGGTAGTGACGCATGTTCCCCGTACGTACACTAGGTACCTAAGTACCGCCACCTCCTTTGAGCGAGAATTTCAGGGGGCTTCATGGGTCTTGCCGCGCTCCACAAAAGATCCCGTTGTACATATAAAGGTCACAAAGGAAAATGAAGATACTGTCAGGTCGTTGGGCGCCTCCTCTTGATGAAATGCTCCCTTGAGTTCAGGTTGAAAACTCTGCGAACCCTTCTCCCGCTGACATTTTTGTTCCCCCTTTTTGGTGATGCTGGAGGTCCTTGCAGGTCCCCAAACTTCCAAAGCCCTGGTCCCTGATATTTTGGTGTGACCCACTTCTCTTTCATTGGGGTTCTGACCATGGATGTACGGCCCCGGTACCATGACCCAAGTACTTGAACATTGAATACGGAGGTACTGTCGTACCTGGGTACTTGTTGATGCGGGTACCTGACAGGGGGCGGGTCGGAGGCGCAACGCCGCGGTTGGGTGGTTGGCCACAGCCTGAACGGAATTCTCGAAGGTCGTTCCTGCATTAGCGATGATCCTCACATGAACTTTGTGGAAGGACCTTCCACACAGAGGACTGAGGGAGGAAGAAAAAGATACAAAACCGACAAGATAAATCACACAAATCAACATCAATTGAACCTGAATACCTACCTTAGCATCAACAAAATATTGTCCTGCCTGGATTGAGTCTGTCTTTCCGCCTCTTCAGCTCTCTGCTCAGCATTAACCACGTAGCCCAGCGACCTGAAGGTGCATCAAAATCCCATCATGTGACGGAGAAATGAGAACCAACAACGTAAGCAAACAAAGAAGATAGAAACACTAATTTTTCTACTTTGCACGGGATGCATAGACCGGCAGACCCAGCCAAACGGCCCGTCTGAAATGAGCCTTGTGCCCTTTTGTTCGTTTCAAGTTTCACACAAGATAATTTATACCCACTCTTGCTATACACCCTACGAGGAGGACATGGTATTTCGTACCTAGTCCCGGCCCCCTTCTCCAATTCCGAGTGAGAGAACAAGTACGCCCGTCCAGCTGGTCCTCATCCTATTGGTCACCAGCCCCTGACTGTCATTCTCTTCCCAACGCCGAGAGATCAGCTACCGATCAGCCGGGTTCACACCCCGGCGGACAACAGTTAATAGTTGCTAAACCTATCTGTCAGCTCCGAGTCCCAACCGAAGGGGTATTATTCCGTACCTGGTCTGTCGATTGAGACTGTAAACGGTGTTTCTTACTGCGTCTGCACGACGACCGCACCCAATTCAAAGGTATGAATAATTTAGAATCCACCTCAGTCAGCAATGGGTTAGGAGTGGACGCCAGCCTCAATCCGCGGGCCGACACCTTCTCAATTCGGACGTGGTACGGAGTACTTGTCCTTACATACATAGTAGAGCAGGGGAGATCACGCCAAACACGTCAGATTCCGCTAGCCGAACAGCTTCTGTACTATATAGCTCCTGTTCTACACTAGCAAGGGTGATCTCTTCTCTCGCCCACGAGCTTCTTCGCGTCAATCCCCCCCAGCTCTCGGATCTACGTACCTGTAACCTGACTGTGCCTGATACTAGCCTCCGCTCGCTCCCAGCCTCTCAGGAATCCCACCCAGCAAACTGGCACCGGGGAATGCATCCGCTTTGCAGCCACCCAAGTACCCACTCACCCTTTCACCATGTGGCATCCTGGTCCTAGCCGATATCTAATTAAAAGATTTTTTTTCCCTCCCCCGTTGCCCATGTCAACCGTCAACCAAAGTTCCAGCAGCCCAGCACGCTAGGTAGGTACTCCGTAAACGGTTGCGAACCGCCAGGTTCTGACCTCGTTCGCGTCCCCTGACCAGCCCCCTACCATACCATTAGTATCGAACCTGCGCCCGACACATGGACCTGTGTGAACCTTCCAAGCAGGGCTCGGTTTGGCTGGGCCCTGGACCCTGAACTGGCGTATGCGTGCCCGTGTAAAGTCTCGGCTCGTTCCCCTGTCTGACCATGCGAGAGGGTGCGGCGCTCAGACCTGCGGTAGAACGTGCCGAAAGTGGCACCTTTCCGCGTCGGTGAATGGTTTGATGTTGCTCTGGCGAGCTCGGTGAATGTCCCCATTTGCGCGAACCAAGGTTGCATAGGTTGCTCTCGACAACGGCATGCTACGCTGTGTGTCCCCCCCCTCCGCACACCGCGGTCTCCACTCCCCAGAAACGGGGGATCACACCACCCAAGTTTGCCCTACTACCGACGATTCGAACATGGGGGATGGGAATGGGGATGACTGTACGGATTAAGTGTCGTGTCACTCTCTCTAGGCCAACCAGTACCCAGCGAGGTCTTCCTACTGCCGTACTCAGATCCTTCCCCCTTCTCGTGCATGCATGTGTACCACCAATTGTCTGCATGCCGTGTGCCGTACCTCGAATCCTCCTTTCGGCGTTGCCATAATAAGCCTCGCCTGTGCTCAGCGGACATCGGACAGGTTGGAACCGGCGCACGTGAGCAATTTGGAATCCACCATGGCGCAAGCAGCGTCCTGGTTGAATGGCCCGGTTTACGGCTGGGGAGCACAGAAAGCTCTGGTCTATTAGTAGTGATGCAAATACTATGTAGCTGCTTGTGTATGTAGGTGTACATGCGTAAGTCGTGGTACCAAACCAGACGCGGCTCCTTCGCGGGGGGGGGGGGGGGGGGGGGGGGGGGGGGGGGGGGGGGGCGGGGGGGCGGGGGCCGGGGGGGGGGGGGGGGGGGGGGGGGGCGGGGT